GACTTTGGATAATTTAAGTTCAGTGTTAAATAAAGGAAAACCTTGAGTTGAACATTAAATGGAGTTACACTGTGTGTATGTTGGATCTATATATATATATATATATATATATATATACACTCTGTCTAAAGCAACTCTTGAGGAGCCGGGATAGTGCAGTCGGTATCATGAATGGCGACTGGCTGGACAACTGACAGGCTAGAATTGGAGTGCTGGTAGGATCAAGAATTTTCTCCATGCCATCCAGACTGGCTCTGGGGCCCACACAGCCTCCTATCCAGTGGGTACCCGGGGTAAGGCGACCGGTGCGTGAAGCTGACCACTCATCTCCAACTAGTACCAAGATCAAGCAAATGTGGATCTGTATGTCAACTCCCTCATACATCTTGATGGTGTAGTGCTTAATTAGTTAAGCACAGGGACAACTTTCAAGAAACTTTGAGCTAAACAGCTGTTGGCTTCTCAAGAAGGGCTCAGCTAAATGTAGTTAGTTTAAAGCAACTTTGAGCAAGTGTCATCAGCATCAACATTATTTACAAATGTACACACGTTACTGGTTTTATAAAATGTAGTATTACTTGAAACTTGTGCAACCCATAAATGATGGTCGCAAGGAGAGTTCATCTTATGGGTAACTGCGCCTTAGAAATGAATTTCCCATTCTTTGCTAAGTGTGTAGAGGCCAGGAAGTTCAACACAGGCCATATTTGGAGTTCTCTGGACAAAAGTGTCCATCCTCTTCTCAGATTTTTGACTTGTGCAGTGCGATTGTCCTTGGAAAGTTTAATAACCCAGCACAGATCCTTTCTGAGACCAATAAGAAAACATCTACACAAAATAAATACATTATAATCTTGATTATTCATGTGCAGATTATCTGGCTTATGGCTTATCTGTGCATCTTTTTTAGGCACATTTATGAACTGGCATGCCCAGGATGCTTACTATCCACCTGAAACGACTCAAGAACTGCTGGACAGATTTTCATGAAAATGGATATTGGAAAATTGTATGAAAATTTGTCCATTTTAATTCTAATTTAGATTTGGTAGTTTCAATGGCCATTATAAATGCCCTTCAGTGCATATATCAAGCATAACTCATTAGATATTTACAAATGTTTTCAACAGAAGCTGTAGAGTAAACAATGAGACATTTTATGTACAGTAAACTCTGTTTTAAGTTTCATGGTTTCTGAGACAATTGAACAAATCAGATGCTATGCATACATTTCCAAATGTCTATTTTCAGCAATCCAAAATATCTCAGAATGTGTTTTTTCTTTATTTATACATACTTCCATTTTAATTAGCATGGATAATCTAGAGAATGCCGGTCATGGTAGCCGAGCGGTCTAAGGCATGCACTGTCTTCGCTCCCTCAGAAGCTGGGATCGTGGGTTCAAATCCCACTCAGGGCATGGATGTTTGTGTGCGTTTTTCTGTGTTTGTCTACAGGTAGAGGCCTTGTGATGAGCTGATCACTCACCCAAGGAGTCCTACCGTATGTGTAAGATCGAGAAAAACCAAAGTGAACGGAGTTCATGGAGGTAGGCCTAGGGCCACTGTAGTGCCAAGGGGGAAAAAATCTAGAGTATACTGTAATGCTTAGCTTACCTTTGATTCAATTGTTATCTCTCCATTTTTTGAGAAAGCATAGGCGCCATAATGCATCACACTATTGTAGTCATACTCAACTCCAAAACTGGTGATCGTGCTTGCATTATACTTATTGAAGTTGTTCTCTGTCCCTGGTATAAAACAGAATTTCAATTGTATATTTACTAGAAGAGAGATAGCTACTGCTTGCAGACCCTACCAGTTAACTTCAGGCAATACCAACAAGATAACAGCAACTAGCAGTGATTCTTTATTAAAGCCACACCTTACCTGAATTAAAAAAAATACACTGCCTATGAATATTCTAAAAGTATGTGGTGAAAGTGTGTTGTTGAAGTGATGCAAATACTAGACATTTTGTATCACCTCTTTTGTTTAAAGAAATATATTTTGAAGCTGGTTCCCATGACTTCCAAGGACAGAGATTAGCTCCATCTAATGGACCTAACAGATCAGGTAGAGCTTCCAAAATATGTTTCTTTCACCAAAAGAAGACAATGGAGAATATCCAGTATATAGTACTTCAGTTTTTGCTATTTTCTTATTTTCAGTTGATATGATGGAAAAGGATAAAAATGCTTCAGATACAAATAGTATGCCTTTGTGATGGCTGAGGATTAGCTGTATGGTTCCCATACTCCCTGTGTCTGTAGCTCCCTTGTGAATCAAAATGGCTTCCCACACGTGGACACCACCAGGAATTTTTGCAAGAGCGGGGGGGGGATAGGCAAGAAATTCACATTGCAGACATATAAACCATTTGAGACTTTTCACTAATTGCTGTAGGATATTCAGGATAGAAGAATTGTTTGTTTAAAAAGTCATAGTTTTTGTTATTAATATTTGGTATATTTTCTCCTTTCAATTTTGCTTTCTTCTTCAAGCATCCTGGAGGGGAGGTGGAAATGCCTGGTTTGCCTGCCCCTTGCTTGTCATTACCAATGCCCCAAACCCATAAAAGTGACCAAAAATTAGATTTAGCACTTTTCTGAAAATACTGACTAATGACCCTTGATACTTCTTCAGAGATATCTCTGAAGTACTTCTTATACTACCATAGTCAATAAGTTTGTGGACTGGCCACAACGTGTTGTTGCAGTACACTACAGTGGATAAGTTGAGGCACAATATGATGCCCTGTCAGTTCATAACAGCAAGAGGCAGTTTTGCACAAACAGTGTAAGCAGAACTATGGCCTCTATTGTGAACTGCAATTAAATGCGAGTGGCAGAAATAAAAAATGTGGCAGTTTGAACAACAGACAAACATCAAGTTCTGCCAAAAACTAGGCAAATCCCCTAGCGAAACATTTAACATGATGAAGTAAGTGTACGGCTAAGAAGCTTTGCAGTGCCGTGTTTTAGTGGCACCAACGTTTTGCACAGGGGAGAGACAGTTTGGAGGATGATGAGCATAGTGGTCGGCCAAAAACGGTCAGAACTGAACGCAAGATTGAAAAAGTTGCAACGTTGGAATATGCCAACCGCACCCAATCGATAGATGATATTGCAGCAGCAGTAGGAATAAGCCATGGTACGTGCCACAAAATTCTGACTAATGACCTGAACATGTCGCGTGTTACCAAGCGCTGTGTTCCACATGTTCTGACGCAAGACCAATGTGACGATCGCATGACCATTTGTGGTGATCTGATCAGTAGTGCTGACGAAGATGAGACGTTTCTCAATCAGATCATTACAGGAGACGAAACATGGTGTTTTCTTTATCCGCAACTGAAGCTGTAGTCGGCCATCTGGAAATCGCTATCATCTCCAAGAGAGAAGAAACCACAACAGGACAGATCAAAAGGCAAGGTGATACTTCAACTGATTTTTGACTCGTTGGGAATTATTGACATGGAATTTATCCCACATGGAGCAACCGTAAACAAGAACAGGTACAAGGAGATCCTTATCCGTCTATGCGATTCAATTCGTCTCAAGCGTCCTGAGCTTTGGCGTAGGAAGAACTGGCTGTTGCTACACGACAGCGCCCCTGCGCTGGTAAGGCAACAGGTCACCGTTTTGCCACAACCTTCATACTCACCTGATTTCGTACCATGTGATTTCTTTCTCTTTCACCACTTGAAAGCAAAGCTACATGATCGTAGATTTTCAGTCATCCGAAGAGGTTGTCAATGCCACAAGAGATGCTGTATGGGAATTTCCTGCCAATATGTTTCAGCATTGTTTTCGGCAGCTATATCAACGTTGGCTGACTTGCATAGCAGCCAGTGTAAGTGTATGTGAATACTTTGTAATATGATGCGATAAAACCACAGTCCACAAACTTAATGACTGTACCACGTATTAAACCATACATTTGTAATTTAGTGTGATTGGATTACCTTCCTGTATATTTTCCCAGTGGATCGTGACATAATCATCTCTCTCCGTAGCACTCTGCTGGTGAAAGAAGCCCAGTGCATGGAGCAGCTCATGTTCGATTGTGCCCAGTCGGAAGCACCCAACTCCAGGTTCATTGGGTTGAAGGTTCAGTTGTTGTTCCTGAGGTTGTTTTAACTTTATTAGTAACAGTTCATTTCATTTCAAGCTGAGTGGTGAATTAATGGCCAAGCAAGTGAGACTTTTGCACCACTCTTGCTCTCAGCAGATGCACTACTTAAGATCTTGAGAGTGATTAAATTAAAAAACGTAGTCAGAGGCATTCACAAAGTTGGCCATGTATCTCTTTTGGTGTGTGATACCATCTATGGGAACGAGGGTGGGCCATCAGCAGTTATGTTGACTGTTATGTCATCATTAGAGTGTTACTGGATTCTCTTTTCAGTGTACTTTAGTATCTGTACCACAGTGGAAAATCCGGACTGCTTAGACAGGACCTAGCTGTAGCATCAGCTATTCTCTATTCCTAAGCATATGGCTGGATGTTAATTTGATTAGTTAAAGACTGTGTCCCTCCAGATGCTTTCTGGCTTGCTATTCACCAATCTTACCATGTTATCCTGTACAGTCTAGATCAGTGGGTCCTGAATTTTGGGTGCTTGAGGCACACTGGCGATGTTCTTTTCATTTTGCACTGTACTAGAATTAGAAGAAGGAACTAAAATTTACAACAGAAGTATGCTTATTTGTTTTAAATAATGTAATTCACTAAAAAAAGATAAAATTGACCTAAAACAGAAAGATGAATTTTGTGACATATCAATTTAAAAATATGTGCAAATTTGGTGGTTTTCAAATTTTGTGTAAGGGTGCCCACCCAGCTCAGCAGACTGTCAGCAAACAGCTTAGATTATTTCATGTGGGAGGGGGGGCAAAAACTGGGATGAGGCACCTCAATAAGTGTTGCTGTGACACCAGCACGAACAGTAGCTGCTACTATTATTCTTACACGTTTCTGCTTCCAAATTTCTAATGTAAGTTTATTGTTATGCTTTAATTAATTAATATAATATACTCAGTTACAGATAATGTTATATTAATTACTGATATTCTAGTTTGCACTTTTTTTCTTAAAAACTCTTCCCTTCCAAGCCCAGTGACGAGAACTCTTGGTCCAGATATAGGCAATGTAATGTAAACCACAGAAGAAATCAGAACACACAATATAACATCAATTAGTTGAGAACACACACACCAGTTTGGTTGCAGTGGAATTCTCTTTTATACATAGGCTAAATTCATTTAAACATCTTTTAAGTTGTAAGATTTGAGGCTTTCATGGAGGTGACTATGAAGAAAGCAGTCTTCTGGGATTTGGCACCGTGTATATGTGGTGTTAACCGACGTTTCGGAGGAACGTATCGCCTCCACAGTCTGCTTTTACCGGTTCTCACGGTCTCTTCACTTGCAGATTTCTTATATTTTTTCTTCTACCCTGAAGATGGAGGCAATACGTTCCTCCGAAACGTCGGTTAACACCACATATACACGGTGCCAAATCCCAGAAGACTGCTTTCTTCATCTTTTAAGTTCTTTAACATGTTTCCAGGTTGCAGAAACTTGGTAACTCTGTTCAAGCCTCTTGTGCTGTGTTTTCATGAAGCCTGAATGGATATACAAAGCCAGTGGCATTGAACATCAGTTTCATGCATGCATGTTATTCAAGACCTAAGATATCTAGCCTGGGTGTCACAGGAGTCATATCAGCGAGTTCTGTGAACCACTAAAAGAGCAGTGTCAGAAAGAAGAGTAAATGACGTGGAAATGTCATGGGAGAAAGAAGAGAAACTTATTTCAGGGGATGAAGGAGTATCACTTTTTGGGGTGGGAAAAGCAGTGGCTTCAGAGAAGGGCCACAGAACTAATGGTGAACCACTTAATTTTGAAGAAAATTTGAGCTCTGAATGTCTGATTGTAGTGACTAAGGAAGGAGTATTTTCTGGGATGTGATGTTGTGTAGTTTGCCACCAGTTCACCTGCATTCTGGAGGAATGTACTGCATCAGTCTTTAAGGTCTAAGAGTATGCCAAGCAAACAACTGGCAATAAGCAAGCGTAGCTTGGCTTACTCCCTGAAGATGGAAGCAGCACATGCCTCGAAAGCATAGGTAAACTTCCAGTAGATAACACAGCTTCTCATACCAGAAGATAGCGCTATTTATTGTTAAATAGATACATTTTTATTCAGATTGATTTGGCACAACAGTTTAATATGTTGATATTTGCAAGTTGACTTTAAGGCTGGGACCACACAAGTGCACAAAATGCGTCCATTGTAATGAACGTCATGACGTCTGTTGTAGAAATAAACAAGAGAGGCGAATGCTACGCTTTCTTCTGGCTCCATTGCAGACAAAAAACTACGTACCGCATTCTGCAACTGTGTGGTGTCCTCAGCAACGTCCATCATAAAGTACGTTCTTTGCAACGGACGTACTTCATGCGCTCGTGTGGCCCCAGCCTAAACCTGTTAGCCTGGGATTTAACTTACCTTTCCTTGATGACCCACATATGACCAGCAGCCAGAGTTCTCCCCTGTTATTTTTACGTAATCTGTGTCATTTTCTGGGTTGTATTCACGCAGTCTGATGGGTGTCTTGCTGTGGTATTCATCTATAGCGTGCAGAATGTGGGCTTTTTGTTTATCAGCTGCACAAGAAACAGTTCACTGTTTATTTATTTATTTATTAAAGAAAAAATTGTTTCAAATAGAAGTTGCAGAGAAAGGTGAAGGCACTTCTTATGTTCTGTACACTTTTCCCTCAGGGCAATATTTCGTGATAATTGTCGAAATCGGACGCTGGGCGTACCTTTGGAATTCATATATTCAATAGCCACCACGGTGTGCCGTTCACACCCGAAATTTGGATTGTTCGTGTTCCTCGTCTTTTCAGCCTCGTTACCGCGAGTAAACTGGAGCATATTCTCCACATACGAGACTGATTGTGAACTGAATGGTGACAAGCTCTCTCTGAAATCAATTTCCTCTTTATATCTTTCTATGTGCATTTTTGATGGGGGCACGCGGTAGCGTAGTTGGTTGAGGGGCTATGCTACAAGCCGGAAGGTCGCGGTTTCAAGTCCGGATGAGGTTATTGGATTATTTTCAATTGACCTAATCCTTCCAGCCACACTATGGCCCTGGGGTTCACTCAGCCTCTAACAGAAATGAGTACCAGGAATTAATTAAATAATTTTCCTGGGGAGTAAAGCGCGGCCGGCGCGTAAGGCTGACAACTTCACCGCCATCTTTGAGCCGATTGTCTAGATAATGTGGGACCCTCAACGTCTCACAACCCTATGGGCCTTCACGGCCTGTTACAGGGATAGCTTTACTTTTTACTTTTATGCATTTTTGATCACTCTGGACATTGACTTCCACGTCCCACATACACTTTTGTATCTTGATACCTGGGCACAGACGGATGTCAGCTGGGTACTCACTGAATACGTCATCTATGACGTACGGCACAATTCCGTTGGGCCAGAGGGTCGAGGAACCGATCAGACCGTTCCTCAGCTGGTTTTCAGAAAGGGCGATGTCTCCCTCGAACTTGCCACTGAGCTCCCACGCGCTCTGCTTGGACCTCACGTCTGCAAGACAAACGTACTTTAACGATACCAACCGGCCTATATTGATGACCAATTTGTTCAGGTGGTTTTGGCTGTTTAGAAAACGTAGCCGGGTGAACATTAAGTATTTCAACTCTTGTCATTTTACATTTTCCGAAATTTGGGAAACATTTTAAGTCGTGTATTTCGAAGTTCTAGGATTTGATTTGCGTAGTCAATTTGACTAAATGAAATGAAATATACGAATTGACTGTCTTTATTTCGTAGTTTGGTTTCGAGTCTTCTTATTCTTTTTTTTTTCTCCCTCCACATTACTTTCAGGCATTTCAAACGCCTAGCGCTTGCTGCAAGTTTTGTAACATGGTACATTTTCTAATTACCTTCTTTTTAAATAAAAAAATGTAAAGTCACTTTTCTTCTCGTAGGACTATTCGGCCCAAGAGGAATGCAGCATTCCCGAGTTGAAATTGTTTCCGTTTTGTTTAATTTAAATCCATGTAACGAAACAGAGTCATCTTGAGGCGTTGTTTTGCTTTTTGAAGTGCAGGTTTGTGACAAATTCTAATTAAATACAGTATAAATATATTTTTGTTTTTTCTTTCCATGGTATACATTACTAAGTCCATGGGGCCGAGCCCTTCTTGAGAAGCCGTCAGTTGCGCAACTACTCAAGAATTTTCCAACATTTCACGGAACCCGAAGGTTCATTACCGTGTTCACAAGAGCCCTCCGTAGAATATATTACTACACATAAACATATAATAAATTGTGAAGTACAATCCTGGCACGCATGGAATTCTTCAGGAGTATCAGTGGTGTTCCCTCGCAGCACCATCCGACAGGCAAGCCCTCAATTTCGTTACCGTATCAACAATATGAGAAAAGTTGTAAACCGTAAGGAGCGACTTTAGGGAAAAACGTATGCATAATTTTGAGATTCGTGACTAATTGAAATTCGGGATATTTTAAAATTATTTATTTCCCGATTCTTTTGCAGATCCCAAAATCATACTTAAGAATCATCAAATTATCCGTCGCCTTACCTATAACCCTTCCTGTGCTGCAGGTTACAGCTACGGCCAGGATCGCAATAGGGAGAAACATCTTGAGAACTTACCAGATCTCGTCTGTGACATGGGCCTTAAATACAATTCCTCTAAGTTGGCGGAATCTTTACTAACTTATCTTAAGATAAGGTGCATCAAAGCGCACAATCATACTCCTGATATAGCCATTCTCACTGCCTCTGTCCATCTTATCAATGAAGCTTTGTTGAATGATAAAACATGCTTACCTCACCGCGGACTACATTTGTTTGGGTTGTGCATACAGATATCTCGAGTAGGGTTTTCCGAACGATGTAAGTAAATGTAAGTAAAGTAAAGGTATCCCTGTAATAGGCCGTGGAGGCCAATAGGGTTGTGAGATGTTGAGGTTCCCGCATTTTCTAGACAGTCGGCTCATAGATAGCGGCAAAGTTGTCAGCCCTACGCGCCGGCCACCCTTTACCCCCACGAATATTCCTGATACTCATTTCTGTTAGAGGCTGAGTCGACCCCAGGGCCATAGTGCAGCTGGAAGGATTAGGTCAATTGGAAAAATCCAATGACCTCATCGGGACTTGAACCCGCGACCTTCCGGCTTGTAGCATAGTGCCCCAACCAACTACTATACCACGAAACATCATCGAAGCGAAAATGCACAGCATTCGCTCAGTTTATGCTATTGAACTCCCAACCATTTGCAACCGTACCCCAAATCACTTGTCGTCATTCTGGTAAAACTACAAAATGACCCTCTGATCATCACTAAAACGTTAAACTTTCATTTTAAGCATTTTTTCATAGAATTGGTGTAGATGGAATGAAGCACAAGGAAAAATAATTTCTTGTCTAACAGTGCGATATCATATCTGTAATATTATTACCAGCTTCGCGACAGTATATCTACATACGCAACATATGGTGGTGAAAATCAATCAGACATGTAGCAGGTAGAGGATTCACTTGAAAAATATGTAAGGACATCGAGAGTAGGAATTTTGTTCCCCGTTTACAGTACCTAGCTATTAAAATTTCGCGGCTTTTGTCGATGTGGGACTTCTGGGTTCAGGACGCGTTTAATTTTACTGCTCCAAGTTGGCGCACGTGTTTGACGTCCTGAATTTGGATGTTATTCTATTCTATTGGATATGCTGAATGTAATTTGTATAAACATAGATTTGAAATACTTTTGAGATTAATGATGTTATTTGTGTAAAACTGAAAGCTGTATGGAAGAAAAGGAGTCGTCAGTCACTTACAAATTCCGAAGTTGAGAAGTGCTCTATTATACATCTAGGTTAAATCCAGATAAGAAGTTTTCATGTCAGATAGTAAAGTTCGTGACAGATTAAAACTTTTACCTAAGTCAAGACCATTAACCAACCATCTAACTTCATGGAGCTGAGCTCTTCTTGAGAAGCCGCGAATTGTGCAGCTACTGAAGAACTTCCCAGCATTTTATGGAACCCGAAGTTTCATTACCGTAGTAACGATAGCTTTCACCAGCCCCAGTCCTGAGCCAGATAAGACCACTGCTGCTCTAAATGCCACCCAGATGACGAGAAATTTGCCCTTCTCCCGTTTAAAAAATAATTTCTCGAAAGTCTGTCAGAGAAACAAAATTTATAGATACAGTTATGAAACCTGTTAATTGGTGTCTTAATTCTTAAAAATTTATCACCTCAGTACTGGAGGGTACTATTTCCATCACCATCAGTTTTTGGTAAACAGAGTTTGAAGCTAGTTTAAACTGAGGTTTAAGTGAGACTCAAAATATTTGGAAATTTTGTACGTACAAGTAATGTAACCCAGACAATGAGTGAAGGGCCAATTTGCATTGTTACATAACGCATTTAAATTACTGCCAATTAATGGTCACACTATGAACAGAAGAGCAGCAGAAACTGATTATTATTTAACGTAAAGACAAAAAGGCAGCATTTGTAAAATATGCCAACCATAAAACGATGTTACTCCTTGCAAATGCTTTACTTTTCCTATCATGTTGCACCAGCCCTGACTGAAACTGATGTATATATTGGATTTGAGGTTCCCAGAGCACGTGACCATGAGTACAATTTTTTCAGTTGTGATGTCATGTAATTTGTTGGAAGGTCAGTGATAATGCTCGTAAATGTGGGCAAACTTGTAGTGGACTGCATGACATCACATTGCAGAAGGCAAATCTCTTATCACTGCCATTATAAATTGCTGCAGAGCGAGTGAATTTGTAATGAAATTATTTTCAGGATATGGCAAATCATACAGTGATCCTGTTACTTGACCATGTGCGAGCCAAGAGACCCTATATTCGTACAGTGTCAAAGTGGGTGCAGGAGTTGGGTCTGAGGGGAGCTTTCATATTCCAGTGGAAACTGATTCTCCTTCTGCTGCAAGGGCAGACTGAAGACATTATGGTACAGCTTGTGCAGTCCTGCACAGATCCAGCCTATGTGATACTGCATTCAGGTTGAGGGCTCCTTTACTGGTATTAGCTTGTTTTTAGAAGACCTCTTCCAAGTTTCAGCTTCATCCAAAGCGAATCAAAACATGCAGCAACAAAGTGTCATTTACGTCTGACATCATTTCACTGTGTCATCACCCGTCCTAATGTATAAAATACTAATCCTTGCTTTTCTGTCAGTTTGTCAGAGTGGGTAGTTATGAATAGGAGCAGAAGGTGGCAGCAATGGAAGTTATGATTGATTTGGTGTCATAGCGCCTGGGTTTTCCAGGAGTTCAGCAAGATAGCAGTTTGTCAAGTTACTCATGCCAGGACACTGGAAAGTTGGGGGGTAATGCTGGGCATCTGTCTGTCCCCCTGGAATCTGAAAAAAGGCTCAGAATTGAAGAAAGGATGGAAACATACCAAATATTAATTGTAAAAATTAGAAGTTTAATCTTGTTAGTAAAAATAGTTGCAAATGGCTTAAATTAAGTTTGTAATAAAATTATCTGTCTGCCTCAATGAATGTTGTTGTTGCTTATTGTTACCGCATTTGTAATGTCTGTTGCCGTGACAGATGAAATGGAAACTATTTGGAAGTAGTTGATTGTGGCCCAATGTATGTACTATCCTTGGATTTGCCTGGAAGGACTGAGGAAAACCACAAAAAGCTTCAGTCAGGATAGCCAGTTCCCCAGTTGAGACTCAAACTGAACACCTCCCAGATATGAGTCGAGCATTACCACTATACCAGTGTATTCAGTGGTAAAGTCTGATTGTTACCACATGGGTAATGTCAGATGGTTTGCTTAGGTATGTGATCTGTAGTATCATCATATAATTGCTATTCTATGTGACCATTAGGTCCAGTGATTGAGAATGACTTTCTGATGGACTCAGCTCAGTAGGAACCTTTCCTTCCTTGGTCCAGCTTCTGAAACCTTGTGTCTGGAAAAATTGAGGCAGCGGACAGCTTCCAAATAGTAATCATGTAACATGCTGTTATCAGAAACATTTAGATCAAGCTTTTCTGTCCATGTTCCTGAAGCTCCTCATTTTCCTCTCATGTTCCTCCTTCCTTCTGTGTGACATCTTTCCTCACTTGTTTCCATCTTCATCTTCCTGTTGGGCATCTTCTTAGTTTTGTGTTTGTATTTGTACTGGATTATTTGGCAAGCAGATGATCATGTTTAAATAGACATGGAAGTTAATTTTAAACCCTTCAGATAGTCACTCAGTCATTCAATCGTGCTTATATTGATTTAATGAGCAGGTCATACATAATCAAAGCAACTGAGTGAATTACATCTTTCAAACAATTACTGTAGTGAAGATTTCTATCTTCTGGGTTATATCGTCATGTATTCTGTTATCCTTCACAATAACTGTGGCATTTGTTTGCAGGAGTATCTATCCCGCCATCGGACACAGTGTATTGATGTGGATTCCAAGGGCAGGAAATGCAAGGAGCGAATGATGACTGTCATTGCTGAAGTGCAGGGCCCTCCAATTGAAGACAGATTCGTAGTTCAGGAGCTGAACTCTGCAGATGAATTAAAGCGCTTCTTCATAGAGGCTGGACTCAAAGATATATATGAGTCATATGTGAGACAACTTTCAGAGTAAACTTTGTAGTTGTAGAATTTTGTATTTTACATACAATATGCAAAATTTTGATGAAAGCTATGTTGAGGATCACTGTTTGTAGCTGAACATGACAGGTGCCAGATGCCAGGTCTCTGTGGCAGCTAATAATCTCTTAGAGTCGTGAGTTTTATATTCACGCACTAAAGGACGTTAAAGTTTACAGTTCTCAGTTGCTGTGTTATGATGTCGACCACAACCTCAGTGGAGGATGAACCAAATGCACCTGTCTTCAAACTGTGGTATCAGTCAGTTGAAATGCAGGACCATTATAACGATTATAAGTGATGATTTGCGATAAATCACAGCGAGTTATCATGTTGCACTGTAAGTAATATTGTTATGAACACTTGGCTGAAGAATGATTTTTTACACGTGCTTTGAGTCTTTGTCAAGATATCAAAGCTTGTTGAATTTTATCACACATCAGATGCTGATAAATACCACTGGACATTCAAAGATAACTATTCAAGGATATCTTCTTGTTTTCTATGTTTTAAGTTCTGATAATGTGTATTTTGTAGTCACTGATTAAAAATGATCATCAAATTCTTTTTTAATTTTTTCTCCTGTCTTCTGATTTGTGGAGGCTTGTGTGTAAAATTTATAGATCAGCTGGTTTGTAGTAACGAGCTGTATGGAAGGTCCATAGAGCTCTGATAAGTTTAAAAGGGGATATTTTTATTTTTTTGTAAAGCTGAGTAATTTTGTGCGCTGTTGACTTTTGTATGGTTTTCAATGGAATGTGACCATCAGTTCTCTGGGGCAATCAACATAGAGGAGTAACAAAGGGTACCGTCAGCTCTGAGCATGAAATCTTTTGGGCAGATTCACTATTCTGGCCTGGCAAGGTCAGGTAAGCAGCACTGCATAAGGGACCGTAGTTCCAGGTTTTAGCAGCATGGAACCAGGTGTGTGGTGGAAGTGGAGATCATGCAACCTGACTACTCACCATTTGCACAGCATGCACGTAACAGAGCAGCACTGCAGACGTATTTACTGGTAACTTACTAGACCTCTGCACATTTATCAAAGTAACGGAGGGAGAGCAGGTCTTGGAAATTTTGGTTTTGAATTCAGTCACGATGTGACTGAAGTCCCAAGAAGATATGAGAATGTTTGTAACCATGGAAGCTTCAGATCTTGTGTAAGAGAAATTAGTCTTTCTTGCAGATATAATAATGTTATGCCACAGTTCCTGTGTGGCTGATGCATGAGTAAGGACAGGAGACAGGGAGGAAGTTGTTTTGGATATACAAGTAAATCTGTGATAACTGTTTCATGGTATATACTTCATAAAGTAAGACTGCTACATTCATTTTGCCAACAAATATAAAATAAAGAAAACATCTCGCAGACAAGGTGAGCATGACAGATTTCTTCCTACTATAACTGACCAGCCGACTAATCAATTAATGTGAGTCAATTAATAAAACATTTGTCTGTGTGATGGTAACCACAAAAAACAAAAAAACACACTCCATGATATTAGTCTGCAAGCGAACTATACTGACCGAGTGACCACAATATATACAAAACTATAATTTTGCCTGTGGTTCTGTATGGGTGTGAAACTTTGTCTTTAACATTAAGGGAGGAACATAGACTGAGAGTGTTTGAGAACAGGGTGTTGAGGAGAATATTTGGACCGAAGAGATGAAGTGACAGGAGGTTGGAGAAAACTGCATAATGAGGAGCTTCATAACTTGTACTCTTCTCCAAGTATAATTAGAATGATCAAGCCAAGGAGGATGCGGTGGGCAGGGCATGTAGCACGAATGGGGGAGACGAGGAATGTGTATAAGATATTGGTGGGAAAGCCAGAAGGAAAGAGACCACAGGGAGACCAAGGCGTAGGTGGGTGGACAATATTAAAATGGATCTTAGAGAGATAGGATGGGATGGTATTGATTGGATTGATCTGGCTCAGGATACGGACCACTGGAGGGCTCTTGTGAACACGATAATGAACCTTCGGGTTCCATAAAATGCTGGGAAATTCTTGAGTAGCTGCAGAATTGGCGGCTCCTCCAGAAGGGCTCAGCTCCATGAGCAAGTAAGTAAGCTGGCGTGATCACTAGTCCATATGCTACAGTCTGCATGTTTGGTTCCTGCAGCCAGACATGAGAACAAGTAGACTAAATTCAAGCACCACAGCACTGATCATGCATTTAACTCTTAATGTAGATAATGTTTTAGATCTTTAAAATTGCCTGCACACCACTGAACATTGTCTTCACTAATATTTGTTTAATACAGTGGACTGAACTCACAAACCAAATACCACTGAACATACATTTAACTGTCAGTATTTTAGATGCTTGAAAGTCCTTGCACAGGACTGCATATTGCTTTCTTCATGGTCATTTAATATGGCAGGACAAATCCAAGCAACTCTAAACTAAACTTAAGACTTAATTAACATAGTATTTTACACCTTTAAAACTGTTTACATGCCACTGTTCTGTTCCATCATTAGTGGTTGTCAACTGTTAACAGTCACTGTCAGGATTATTAATTAACTTCTTCCCCTGTTATGAAGAGCTTTCTGTTTGGAACCAGTCCTCTGCATACACCTTCATGGCGTGGTGCTTAATTAGTTAAGCACAAGGACTTCTTTACCTTTTACCTGTCCTTTTCATTTGGTGTCATTATCAATAAAGATAATTCTATCCTGAAACCTTTCTGGTAAAATTTACATTGTTCAGCAGTTCCCTGGAAGTGCAAGAGAGAATGTGTTCTGCTGAACATCTGAGCATGGAAACGATTGGAGTTAAGATTATCACTTGAAATGTGAACAGTTTCACTATCACTATATTATTTTTTTTAATTTCAAGGGGTGGGGTGTGTCTGAGTCCAGTTGGTACATTGGTCACTATTTGGCCTATTGTACCAGCTCCAGATAATAGATGCATATGAAGTATGTGATGGAATGAGAATTGGCGGGGGAAACTGAAGTACATTGAGAAAACCTGCCCCAGAACCACATTGTCCACCACAAAACCCACATGACCTGACCTGAGATTGAACCCTGGCCGCTGCGGTGGGAAGCCGGAAACTAACAGCCTGAGCTATGGCACGGTCAGTATCAGTGGTATGACACATGACAGATTTTCAACCGCAGTCTCACACAGCGCACCCAATTTTCACAGTCTAGAAATGTCAGTATGGTTATAGAAGTACTGGGTCTGATGTGGTAGCATGATTTATTAAAATGCTGTCATTCGTAGTCATTTAGGTCACCCCGGAAACCACACCATCACGTGGTGATTCCCATATTCATGAATAAGGATCTGTAAACCGGGTCATGGCGGTATAGCTGTTACTGTGGCCCAAAAGCTAATATGTGGTCATAGTCAGCAAACTAAAAATTAATTCAAGAGTTCTATCATGTACGATGGTAGGCGTCTTGTATCATAGGGCTCAAAGTATCAAGTGCAAAATTAAAGGAATAAAGTATCGGGGCACGCGTGGAATTTTTAAGGGCGGAAAAATTCAGGGAACAAGTCCTCCGGGAAGGACTTTAAGCCGTGGGTCCCGTGTCGTAGATTTACGGCACGTAAAAGAACCTCATGCCTCTAGGAGGCCTCTAAGCTAAATTAGGCCAAAACGTTTCCCGCCCAAATAGTTCCCAATGCCTCCGGTAGATGGAGAAGTATTAGGTACCACTCCCAGAGGAGGGACGACCTCTCTGACAGAAAGGGACTAATTATTAGATACCACTGCCAAGTAGAGGGTAGAAACCTTGCTGGCAGAAAGGGGCTAAAGTATTAGGTACCACTGCCAGAGGAGGGACTAACTCACTGACAGAAAGGAACTAACTATTAGATACCACTGCCAAGTAGAGGGTAGAAACCTCGCTGGCAGAAAGGGACTGATAGTGAGCACCCGTATCGGTAGGGGATGGAGACGGTAGAAATTAAAAGGGGGATGTACAATAGACTATTAGTCGCGGTGCATGGGGAAACCCACCCCCTCAATACTGAAGCACTGAATGGGGGCACGCAATAGCGTAGTTGGTTGAGGAACTATGCTACAAGCCAGATGGTCACAGGTTGGGTTCCTGATGAGGTCCTTGGATTTTTCAATTGACCTAATCCTTCTGGGGAAGAGTAGTCGGTATAGCGACTGGCTATGGGCTGGACGACAGAGGGGACGGAGTTCGAGTCCCAGTAGGGTCAAGAATTTTCTCTACGTCATCTAAACCGACTCTGGGGGCCAACCCAGTCTCCTATCCAACGGGTACCGGGGGTAAAGCGGCCGAGGCGTGAAGCTGACCACTCACCTCCAACAAGGGCCGAGGTCAAGGAAATGTGGATCTATACATTCACTCCCCCATACGCCTTCATGTCGTAGTGCTTAATTAGTTATGCACAGGGACAAGTTTACCTTTTACCTAATCCTTTCATCCGCACTAAGGCCTGGGTTCGACTCAGTCTCTAACAGATACAATAGAAATGAGTGCCAGGAACCTTCCGGGGCGTAAGGGTAGGCGGGCGCTGAAGACTGACAACCTTAACGCCATCTGTGAGCGGATTATCTAGAAAATGTGGGAGCCTGTGAGGCGTGTTTACGTTATGGCTCTGATGGTTTTCGCCGTTGGTCGGCTGTCCTCTCTTCCCCCCCCCCCAGCTACCAATTCCACAACTTCCTACCTTGCGTAATCCCACAATTCCGGTTTATCATGTGCCCTCTCCCCCTCCACTCCCAATTAGCTGTTCTGGAATGTATGGGGGTACGGAGAACGTCGGTTAAGTCGTCTAGGTATGCGGAGCGGGGACCGTACTTGTTGTGGGCCTGTGGTTTTGCGTCAGCGGTCGGCCGAGGTAGGTTGAAACTGTTAAGGCTACGCATTAAAAATTATGTTAGGACTCTTAATTCCGACTGGTCTGGCTACGGGCTGGACGACCGAAGGGGCGGAGTTCTAGTCTCCGCAGGGTCAAGAATTGTCTCTTCTCCAAGTCGTCCAGACCGGCTCTGAGGTCCACCCAACCTCCTCTTCAATGAGTAAAAAAGTAAAGCTATCCCTGTAACAGGCCGTGAAGGCCCATAGGGTTGTGAGACGTTGAGGGTCCCACATTATCTAGACAATCAAAGATGGCGGTAAGGTTGTCAGCCTTACGCGCCGGCCGCGCTTTACTCCCCAGGAAAATTATTTAATTAATTCCTGATACTCATTTCTGTCAGAGGCTGAGTAAACCCCAGGGCCTAGTGCGGCTGGATGGATTAGGTCAACTGAAAAAATCCAACGACCTCATCGGGACTTGTACCCGCGACCTTCCGGCTTGTAGCATAGCCCCTCAACCAACTACGCTACCGCGTTCCCTGAAGTTGTCCCTGTGCTTAACTAATTAAGCACTACGCCATGAAGGCGTATAGGGGAGTGTACGGATAGATCCACATTTTCTTGACCTCGGCACTAGCTGGAGGTGAGTTCAGCTTCACACCCCGGTCGCTTTACCCCCAGGGAAAGACTCCCGGTACCCTTTGGATAGGAGGTTGGGTGGACCCCAGAGCCGGTCTGGACGACGTGGAGACAATTCTTGACTCTACCAGAACCCGAACTCCGACCCCTCGGTCGTCCAGCCCGTAGCCAGTCGCTATTCAGACTTCGTTCTTCTTAAGTTTCTAATGTTGTGTGTACATTATGTCTTATGATGTGTTCTACTCTTGTGTGCGCGTGCGTTGTATCGTTGGATACGACCCCCATGTGGATGATCAATAATACACACGAATTTAAAATATGACGTATGAGATAATAGGTTTTAACAAGTTTTAAATACATAAACTTTATTATTATAAGGACGTTTCGTAATCTAGTGTATAGTTACCAACAAAACGTCATCGAAGCCAGTAAACCTTATATTGCCCGCCGAGGGAACTACCAACACTCCTACGCAAGGAAGATGTGACGTCATTCCGCTGGTTGCCGAAGCAAACGCAGGCTGGACATGGCCGGACTGCGCAAGGTGCCTCAGCCGTTAAGCGAGCTGTCACTCGCCCTTTACCAGCAAAATACAGGGTTATCTTGCTTAGAGCACTGGTACAGATAGTTACCATTCTTCCATTAGTGGATCAATTGACGCTGTGTATGAATGACAACGGCTATTGTATATATCACGTGCTCATTTCTATGGAGTACCTCGGTTTAGAATGCTTAGAATGCTTGGAGCATTACTCCCACATCCCATACTGCCTTCATGTTGTGTTTAGACACAGATGTTGTGCTGATGCTTGAGTCAGACACATCTCTTCTTGTATACAGTGTACGTTTATTTATACTTATTTTGCGATATGGCATTTTCCATGATGAGTATTCGTACAAACTACCAGTACTCTCTCCAGGGGCCAACAGTTTCCCCGGCGGCCAGCCACATTTCCAGAGGGCAGGCAGAAAATTATTTTACATACTTCAAACCGTTTAAGACTTTTCTTGGTCGCCGTACAGTATTCAAGACAGAAGAATATTAAGAAAAATATTCACATTGTTTATTATAATTAATATGTATTATATTTTCTTATATTTCTTTCTAAAATTCAAAGGGGGGGGGGGAAGCAGATGTGGTAATGAAGTCAAGCCCTCATGCATACATGTTTGAAGCGCTACAACATGACGCCGTTCATATTTGACCAGAATGTTACTGATGTCGAACGAGGACCAATGGGAAGCTCACATTTCTGGGCATCGGTCGGAGTGCAGCGTCACTTTTTTACGTCCCTACATCTTCGTAAATTCCCGAAGTTTGACGATCCCTGCATCGCTTCGCGTCACGACGCTGTATTCACTCATTGGTCATTCTCTATGGAACTTGTGGGTAGATGCCGTATTGTCCGTGGATGCTGGCAGGTGGAGGGGGGAGGGAAATTCTGGCCTTGCCCTCCCTCGGAGTTTCAGAAAAACTAAAAAAGAGAAGGAAATACGTGTATACCAAATACAAGTATTAATACCGTTTAGTGATATGGAGTGACTATAGACGGGGTTCGGATTGATGACCGAATTTATTGGACTCTTTGATACAGCGCGTGACTACACTTTACATTTCACTGTTACACACACACACATACTAGTGTCCAAAGTCACATCTTCACTAGCCGTTGCTTGATAGCGGCTTCAACAGTGGACGCTCCCCTCCCTCTGGGTTCCTGAACTGTCCCCGTGTCTCAGCTATCAGCTTCTCACAACAGAACCACAGCAGATCTGTGAGTGACTGCTCACTAACCACAACTGACACACCAATCAACTTGTCCTGCTTATAACATCTTGACACGGACAGCACAGAAAACACCGTTCTTCTGATGCTGTTTACGGGCCGCTGTCTAGTGACGGTCGTTGTATAGTTCCACATTTCCCTGTCGTTGCCTAGCAATGGGTGTACATGTCACAATACCAAATGATCGTGAACACGGTTTGTGGGCCATCTGTGTTTCAGTACAGAGACTCACAGCTCTAGGGCCCTTCTTCCCCGGAGCAAACCGACGGATGTGTTGACCAAACACCTTGCAGAACACGCGGGTGTCAGTAAGCCAGACAGCGGTGCTACTGGCTACAAGCAAGGAGCGACGTCTCCGCGCCCCCACCCCCATCCCCAGCCAGGGCCCAGGGCCGGATGTGCTAGTATAACGTCGGGAGAATTGCCAGGACCTCTCTCTCAGAGCGACAGAGGGAACCGACGCCTCCTGATCACGACGCACCAGTTCACCCAGCGGCCAAGCGGTGCCCACGGTTTCCGAAGTGCCTTGGTCTGGGCGTCCTTTCTTGTGGCAAAACAATGACACTCTTGAGTGTTTCTCTTGATCAGTTTAGTATTCTTTAAGCAGATTCTAAAGGGTTCTGACGATGGTGTATAGCACCCAGAATTACTGGGTTTTTGGATTTTGCCCATCGACCTGTATTCTAGAAACTACAGAACAGATCGTTTTTTAGAATACCGGACGATGCGCAATGTTCAAAAACCAAGTCATTCTTAGGACTGTTTAGTTTATCACTCTTGAATTATGATCTTTATGCATTTAAATTCATTTATTGATACATTCTGGTTGCATTTGAACCGGCTTTAAGACATCTTTGAGGTTATGTTATCAGCAGATAGTGACACTGATCGTTGCGTCATCAGTAGAAAGTCCCCAGATTCTCTTTTCAGTGCATTATGGGAACTAAATCGCCGTACCGGAAATCTCGTTCAATACGCAGGACTTTCCTTCCATAAGGCGGCCTACTTAGAGTATGACGTAGGCTTGAAGACATTTTGGACAGAAAGTAATTTCTTTCTGTTATATTCATCTGCTACTGATATTCTGATTAATACATTTATTGGCGACTTCTAAGTCTCTCCTTTTAAAGATTCACCTTTCCGCATCAATTCATACAAAGGGGCGTGTGGGGGGAGGTTACCTCACACTGAAGAGCGGCGTTTAACTTTATAACGCGGAATATGGCGCTGATGTTACGAAATTCGTCCTTTATCTCAAGCCAAAGTTTTGCAGAGCCGATGCATTAGTGACAGCTGTGTTAGCTGTGTTAGTACGGTGACTGGGCTATGAGCTTGACGACCGAGAAACTGCGGTTCTATTCCCCGCAGGAGCAAAGGATATTTTCTTCTCTACAGGATAAAGACGGGCTCTGGGGTCCATCCAGACTGCTGCCTAATTGGTACCGATTTTCTTTCGCTTGTGGGTAAAGCGGCTGGGGCGCGTAGCTGACCGCTCACCTCCATCTAGTGTCATGGTTAAAAATGCTTAGAGTTCACCTCCACTTCACCACAAGTCTTCATGGCTTGGTGCTTAATTACGCACAGTGACAGTTTAAGTATGAATGAATGAATGAATGAATGAATGAATGAATGCATAGGGTTGCTTCTCGGCCTTTGCACCGCAACCTACACTGGTCTATAATCACGACCGAAATACGAGTGGCGTGTGACCTTGCGGGCTTTCCACAAACCACTGGCCGGAAGTGCATGGAGTGACGGCGCGTGGTAGTCGCTCGTTGAGATGCTGTCATAGTGCTGCACATGTATTAATATTTTTAATGCTACGAACAAGATATCGCGGTTAAAAGCACCGATTCTTAACGACCGAATATATTAGATATTTGAGACGAAGTGAAAGTAACTTGTTTCCACAATTAAAGTTGGTTACTGTGGGTTTTCCAACGACAACAATTATACGTTTAATTTCATAAAATACTGGCCGGATTTCTATGGAATTTGGTAAGGAGGAAAGCTTTTTACAAGTTATCGGGTAAATTTAATTTTGACTTTTACCAGTCAAACATGAATTACAGTTTACGTAACGTATTTAAATAGGACTTTGTTTTGATAATATGAGGGAAAGTTGCTGCTGAAAAATTTGAGATAGCTAACGCTATTCCACACACCCATGATTTTGTATTTTAATTTTATATCGTGTGGATGTCCGTAGGGAATAGCAACGAAACAGTACGTATGAAAGACTGCTGCAGTAAAGCAGTTATCCTCGGGCTGCTCTAAAGCCTCTAAGACAGTAAAATATATTCATGAGTCCCGTGAGACTCGGAACCAAGAATCATTTTGAGCTGTGTTTCTGCAACAGTCATGTTATAAAATAAATATTTTCCGGAATTACCGTATTCCTCTGGCCAAATTCCGTTTGGGTGATTCACACTGAATGTGACGTGTGCTTTGGTGGTAGCAGAGAACTGGCCGGCATGACGTCACTACAGTGATCTCGTGTGTGAACGTATGTGAACACGGGACGCACGGGACTGTCCCATTTCCTCTCGCGCAGTTGATCCATGACGGCAGTTACCATTCTTCTCTCAACAGTTGTTCGCGATGGTACATCGTCTACTCAAGGTTCTGTTGCTGGTTGGCGCCACCGCGTGTTGGCCGGCCGGACAGGCTGGCCACACTTACACAGAGTAAGTACGACATCTGTTCTATTTTGTAGCATTCCGGTTCCACGAGGTTGTGATTAATTTTGCCGTCGGTTGCCACACTGCAGTTCGCGAATTGGTTGTGCTGGTTCCGAATGGGCAGTTTAGATCGTTTAGATGGGAGGAGTGGAGATATAGTCCCAGTGGGTAAGGAGGTACGTGGAGTGTAGAGCCACATTTCCTTAGCTGAAGGTGAGTGGTCAGCTTCACACCATGGCCACTTTGCTCCCTGAACAAAAGCGTCCGGTATCCATTTGAAAGAAGGTTGGTTGTGCCCGGAGACGGTCTGGACGCTGTAGAGAGAATAAATCTTTTGCACTGTCGGGAATCGAACCGCAATTCCTCGGCCGTCCAAACCAGAAGTAGTCTCTATACACCGTAAATACACAAGTAAATAGATACATGCTCTGTTATGTGTGACCTCTGGGTTACTCGTGAAAAGGAAGGCAAGAAGCGGGGCAGTGGTTGCGTGTACATTGTGCTTAGGAGGAAGGGTTAAAAGTAAAAAAGTACCAGGCCGTGAAGGCCCATAGGGTTGTGAGACGTTGAGGCTCCCACATTATCTAGACAATCGGCTCAAAGGTGGCGGTAAGGTTGTCAGTCTTACGCGCCGGCCGCGCTTTACTCCCCAGGAAAAGTATTTAATTAATTCCTGGTACTCATTTCTGTGAGAGGCTGAGTGAACCCCAGGGCCTAGTGCGGCTGGAAGGATTAGGTCAATTGAAAAAATCCAATGACCTCATGGTTACCCACTATAATTAAAGACCTGTTACGAGCAGTACACACCCTGCGACCCTTAATCGCAGTGAACTCGACCAAATCCGCTGCGCATTCTGGTCAGGTCCAGAGGGACAGTGTATGTATTGATTTGTTATCCCAGGCGACAAATGCGGCAAATATTTGCCCTGTAAATAGCATAGAGCCGCGATTACCGCAAAATTTGTTCCAGAAATGTTGTGTAATTGCTCTGTGTTGTCTGCTAGCTCAGTCAGAGAACGGATAACAGACCTAAAATACGTTTTCTTCCGCTATCCGCGGATTCACATGTCCCTCAAACTTTGTATCATTTTCAGAGTCGCTGTCCCAGAAGGTGGTTCCGAATTTAAGGGCGGGGGCACACCAAGGAAACTGGCAACCGCAACGCAACCGCAGTTTCCGAGAATTGTTATCAGCCTGAGTTGAGTACAAGTTACTGAATGGAGCAGCTCAAATTAAGGAAACAGCAACGCAGTTTCCTCAGTTTGCGCTGCTCCATTCAGTAACATGTATTCAACTCAGGCTGATGACAAATCTCGGAAAATGCGGTTGTCTGTTTCCCTTGGTGTGCCCTCGCCCTAAGGGCCTCGTTCAGGGACCAGTAAAACGTTTGGATTTCGTCTTCTGCCTGTCTCGCATTGTACATTATTGCCTGGCTAAAAGGTTGAGGATATACCACATACCCTAAGTCGGCAACCAATACGAAACTGCCTGATAGTAAGATTTACGATTATCACGTCGGTAATTACGAAGAGTTACGTCTTATGGAGTATAACGCCGTGTCGGCTATTAAAAATCGACGGCCGATTTGGACGAATTTGCCGCCTCGATCTTCAGTGTCGGAGAAAACGAGAGACCAGGAAGAAGCTCGTAACACAGAGCATCATGGTTGGTTTATTCTTCCACCCAGAAGATGGAAGCGACATGTTTCTCGGAAGCGTTATTTAACTTTGAACAGACTATACAGCATTATGTCCCAGAAGACGGAACTCTTCAAAAGCCCCTATGTTCAGTGATGCCTCTGGTATGATGAAGTTATTCACCCCCCTTTCATCTGTTAATAACAGATCAATTTTCCCAGAATCACATAACGGTTATTAGCACAACATTGCTTGCAAACGTTTGTTTATTCTGTTTAAAATTATTTTTACCGCTCGACCCAGAGTAGTCAGCATTGAAGAATATGTTTTTTGAAGTTTTTTTTTGTTGGTATTACGAGTAATATTTTGAACTTTTCCGTTTTTTTAAATTTTTATTTTTTACACAAATCCAGGGGTGTGGGGGAAATACCTGGTCTTCCCCTCCCCCAGAACAAAGGGTTTCTTTTCAAGGAAGATAAAATTTACATTAAACTTATCAGGCTGTCCCTGTAACAGGCCGTGGAGAGACATAGTGTTCTGAGACGTCGAGGCTCCCACATTTTTTAGACAATCGGTTCACAGATGGCGGTGAGGTTGTCAGCCTTATGCGCTGGCCGCTCTTTACCTCAAGGAAGATTCCTGGTACACATTTCTGTTAGAGGCTGAGTGGATCCCATGACCATAATGAGGCTGGAAGGATTAGGTTAATTGAAAAATCCAATGACCTCATTGGGACTCGAACCCGCAACCTTCCAGCTTGTAAAGTAGTGCCTCAACCAACTATGCATATGGAGCACGGTAGCATAGTTGGTTGAGGCACAACGCTACAAGTTCGAAGGTCGTGGGTTTGAGTCCCGATGAGGTGTTTTTTTTTTCCAATTTACCTAATCATTCCAGCTGCAGTATGGCCCTGGGGTCGACTCAGCCTCTAACAGAAATGAGTACCAGGAATCTTCCTTGGGGTAAAGGGTGGCCGGCATATAAGGCTGACAACCTTACCGCCATCTATGAGCCGGTTGTCTAGAGAAAATATGGAAGCCTCGACATCTCACAACCTTATGGGCCTTCACAGCCTGTTATGGGGATAACTTTACCTTTTCTACCATTATCAAACTTATCTGGCACTCAAGATTCTTGTATCAAAGTAAACAGAAGGTCTGTTCACAACAGAAAATTGATGAAGAATAGTAGGTTTGATTAAAAAAATGGTGATTTGTGGCTTATGTTGTAGTATCATCAGTTTCATTGTGGGTAGCAAGGAATTGCTAGAATCATCAGAAGTGTTAACGTCCACATGTGTCAGGTGTCAGTGAATCTACTTTCATGTTCACAGGCCAGCTTGCAGCAATGGGCCAAGTGGGGATGCATGTCAATGTGACCCATCCTGTGCCCAGTATGGGGACTGCTGTCTTGACGCTCCATCATTTGTGTCCGAACAGCAGCGACATGGAGCTTCTCTCTTCACCTGCAGTGATAAAGATGTGTATATGATGTCATCATGTCCCGCGGAATGGAAAGATCCATCAACTCGTTACCGCTGTGAACACCATGACACCAGTTACCGGGACCCTCTGTTTGACGTACCAATAACGAGTTCTCGTACCAACATAACGTATAGCAACAGACACTGTGCGTTGTGCCATCATGATCTTGATGTCGGTACAAGCAACATCTGGTCCATTTACTTTTCATGTGAAGATGCATGGACAGACCTTGATGATGAAGAGATCATAAATTACCTTGTGTACAATACAACAACTTCGTCATGGATTCTAAACATCACTGAAAACCCAGAGTTCATGATATTTCAGAACTACAAGCAAGTGTACAGCTGCAAGGTGGGGGTGCAGGCACCTGAAGAGTTGCTTGAAGTTATGCGCGCTTGTGACAGTAGCACAGTGAACGTGTGCCCAGAGGACTGGACTGATGAGGAGGTGCGGGCCCTGTGCGAGGCATACAGTGTGCACACGTGTCTCAATAGCACTGTGTATCGAAATCAGTACTGTGGAATGTGTAACAACAATGGCAGTTTTCAAGGATCAGTTTGCCTCGATGTTGGGACAAGATTGAAGACTACACCACGGCCACCTGATTTCACAGTGTTGCTAGATTGGCATAGACTGAGAAGAAGGGACACGTGCCAGCAGGTGACAGAAGAATATGATCCGTTTACAAGAACCTGTCGTCCTGTGTTTGTGGAAGCAGAAGGTAAGTCTGAACTTGGTTTCTTGCAGTTAGTTCACCCAAATTAGGTGTTATATGCATTCTCTCAGATACTGCATTACACAACTGTTTACTTTTCCTTATATTTCTGCATACATGATGTGCAAATTAAAGATTAAAAAATCAGGTTGTATTGTTAGGACTGTGAAGTATAGAAGGCTCTGGTAGGCTGGACATGTAGCAAAGATGGGGAGGCAGTGAATGCACACAGAACTTGGTTGGGTGAGATTTCCTCTGCCACCACAAAAAAGAATCTCAGAAGACTGTTGTAATAAAGCAGTTCATCTATTTCAGAGAGACATCCTCAGTGAAATACATTGTACCATTCAGTTCAGAATCTTTTGTCTTCTGTCTGCTGTCTATAAATTCAAAGATTAAAGAATGGAGAACTGTAATTTTTCCTGTAGTTTTATATAGGCGTGGAACTCGGTCTCTCACATTAGGGGAAGAATATGGGTTGATGGTGTTTGAGAACAGGGTTCCTTAAGAGAATATTTATGCCTAAGAGGGCTGAATTAACATGATGCTGTAGAAAACTGCTTAATGAGGAGCTTTCTAGCTTCTATGCCTCACCAACTGTTGTTAGAATGATAACATCAAGAACAGTGAGATGTCCAGTATATGTAGTATGTATGGGAGAGAAGTGGACATGTAGTTTTTGTAAGAGAACTAGAAGGGAAAAGACTGCTAGAAGAAAATAAACGTAGATGGGAGGATAATATTCAAATGCTTCTTAAAGAGATAGTCATTGTGAACCAGATTCAGCTGCTTGAAGATGGAGGGACCAGTAGAAGGCTCTTGTGAACACAGTGATGAACTTCCAGATTTCATAATGTGCCGGTAATTTCTTGAGTAGCTGAGTAACTATTAGCTTCTCAGGGTCTCTGCTCCATGGAGTAGTTAATTGTAAAGTTACACATGATTTATTCAGCAGTAACTGAACATCATGATCAGGGAGAACTATGGGAAAGGACTCAATTTTCAGGGACAGTCTCAAAGAAGTTTGTACCTTCAGGCCTCCTTCAAATTAAATCATTAACCAGTGCAATGGAATGCAGAAATATCCTGGAGTGTGCCCTTTCCATTTGTGTGAACCAGTTAAATTTTCTGAATCATGAGAAGTGACATCAGTTGCTTTCACCCAGACTCAAATTTTCCATTATGATTTTCATTACTCAGTAATTACTCATTTCTTTCATTTATAGGGCTAGGCATTGAAGCTTCCGAAGTTGACATCAGTGCCGAAGTGCCATATGAAATTAACAGTGGCATCGCTGTGGCAGATATGGTAGCTGAAAACTACACCAGTGCCAGTGTGAATGAAACGTGTGCCTCAATCCTTGACACCTGTCTGAAGATTCGACTTGAAGCTCACGAGTATTACATAAAAGATAATGATTCCATGGTTGTGTTTATACCAGCATACAATGCAACTTTGCGACCGTGTGAGTACAGGATTGGTAACGACAGTCGATTGAATATCTGTTTACCAGAGTTTGGCACAGAGAATGTGGGGGAGTCAGTCAAGGGTCTGGGCTACATTACTATGGTGGGGGTCAGTCTGTCGATATTTTTCCTTGTGTTACACCTCTTGATATTTGGCATGACTCCAAAACTTTGTAACTTGTCATCTATGAATTTAGCATCCTTAAGTGCCTCACTGCTCCTGATGTACTGTGCATTCTTCGCTGGCATGTTTCTCCAGCAGACACGTGTCCCGTGTTGTGTCATGGCTGTTATCATTCATTATGGCCTGCTTGCTTCCTTCTGCTGGATGCTTACCATAGCATACGACATCAACAGGGTTCTCCGTCAAGCTACCAAACAGCTGCTAGTATCAAGAGGTAAGACTTCCTTGTACACATTCTTTAGTACAAACATTATATCTTACATGCAGAAATACTCTAAAGGTGTTTATGTTATGTTCTGCAATACTGTTGGTATCTTCCTGCCAGACCAAAATCTAAATTGAGACCAGTGTGAAAACCTGCAATCTCATTTCATGTTCTTCTTAAGTAGATCCTAAAGGGTCCTGATGATGGTGTATAATACTCAGAATTAGTGGGTTTTCAGACTTCAGACAGTAACAGATACAGTTTCCGCAACATTGTGCTTTCTACATGTATTTTCTAGAATACCGGATGATGTACAAAGTGCAAAAACCCAGTCATTCTGAATATTCTTGTTAGCTTAGCGAAACAGTTTTGTATTTGTGCACAGACCTCAGTCTGCAGTCAGTAGGAAATATGGAATTTTATTTCAGGAGATGTTTTGAAAAATCTGCTGTTTGCTACAGAAATTCAGCTGTTGCTAATCTCCTTGTCAGTTGCTCTTCCCTTGGTACACACACACGAGCGTGCACACGCACACACGCGAACATATACACACACACACACATATATATTATTTGTGTAGACATTTTGAAGTTTTCGTGTGTGATTTCATCATAATATAATATTTTTCGAGGAGTACAAGTTCTGAAACTGTTGAAACTGCACATTGAGGAGCCAGAACATTATTTGCAACTTACTTTCACTTGGTTGAGGTTGATTTTAATTGGTGGCCCCAAAGTGTTCAGGACAGAAGAATATGTTCATTTAAATACATACTTCAAATTATTAACATTTGCAATATTTCTTTCTTTTCTTCAATTTTATTGGGAGGCTGGATAGCTCAGTCAGTATAGTGACAGGCTACTTGTTTGATAACTTGGGTTCAATTTCTGGCAGGGACATGAGATTTTTCTTTTCCCTGTAGAGTCCAGACCAGCTCTGGGGATCATCCAGTTTCCTATCCAGTGGGTATGAGGGACTATTTCTCTGGGGTTAAAGAGGCTGGGGTGTGAAGCTGACCACTCACCTCCATCTGGTGCTGAGGTAAAGATTGGTGGAGCTACATTCACTCCCCCATATGTCTTCATGACATGGTGCCTAATTAATTAAGCACGGACAAATTTACCTTTACCTTTCTTCTGCCATTGTTATTCATTATAGAAATCAAGAGTGAGACCAGGTGCCTGGCTGCTCCCGCTTTCACTGCCCCAAGCCAGTGGCACATGATAATTCAACAGTCTTGTTTGATACGGAAAAAAAATATTCCAGGAACTCAGTATGTCAGGGTAGCCACTTCATTAGTTTCAAGTTTGTATTTCAGTCCTCTCATATGAAAACTGCAATCGGTCATTGTGTCTTTTACAGGTAAGCACTGGCAGAGGTTTGTACTGTATTCTCTGTGGAGTTGGATGGCTCCTGCCATCATCATTGGTGCAGCACTGGGAGCCGAGTTCTCTGGTGACGAGATGTTAGAATATGTACGGCCTGGCTATGGTACTAATGACTGCTGGATCAGCAGAGCCAGTGGACTGCTCATCTTCGTGGTGGCGCCACTCGTGGTTGTCATGGTACTCAATGCTGTGTTCTTCTTCTGGAGTGCGTATCTGATCTGTAGCACCACATCCATGCTGCAGAACCTGTCCAGAACCCGCAAAGACTTCCGTCTCTATGTCCGCCTTGCACTCATTATGGGTCTGACATGGGTCACTGGCCTCATTGCAGGATTTGCTGATGTTTTAGGTATGTTCTGATTCACCCTAATGCAACCCACATTAAACTGAGCTCAGTCTGGAAGGATACATTTAACTATATGAAATGTGCAGGTCATATAAATAACTTTTAAATATTTAATATATTGCTTACATGCTCCATAGCCCTGTTGTCCTCTAAGAACTTTGGCCTCCTTCACAGCATACTCACATTTAATTCAGTACAGAAAACACACTTCTTCACCATTACAAAGACTACCTGGTTAGTGCTCTTAGGGAAATAATTGTTTGTTTTGGGACTAACATGAACAGCATAAATATTATGAGAAGAAAAATGTTGGAATTCTGGACTTTGAAGCAGGTGGTACTGGTATGGTACAGATGGTCAGTTGTGGCAACATTGCTGTAGGTCTGTTAATCACCATACTATGTAGTCACCATGCAGCAACATTATATCATCTGTGTGTCAATACTTGTGAATGCCGATTACCCTCTTACGTAACTGTGCATAATTTTGCCTGACCCACACACCCCTTGAGAGGTAAGACTGCACTAACCAAGCTTCTAGTACAGCCAAGACGTACCAGCTCGTGTAAAATAACATGACACTAAAGGTTACAGTTCCTCCCCCTGGCCTGTTGCTAGAATATGGTGGGGAGGCTTCTGTGCCCTGATGACCCAGAAAAATATGGGTCTCCCAGTCTAGACAGGTCAAAGGGCAGAGGCCAGACAAAAGGTACCCCCTGGCCCTCCAGGTTGGAGGGCTTGGTCTAAGGCAAGCAGCCATACCTTGGAAAACAGTGTATGCTAAGAACCCTAACAGTGGATTGTCAGATGAGAGAAGAACATACATGTGTTGTAAAGCAGGTCAGGGTTCTTAGATGGCTGTGGAGTCAGGGTGAGAGTAAGCACTGTAAGTATTATGAAGGAAGTAGTGCTATCTGATTCAATAATATTGACTGAGGGCAATGTTAACATAACACTTGATATGGAGTTGTCACAGACAAAATATTGTGTTAGGCTAATATTAACTTTAATTGTCGTCATTCGTTATTGCAGTTGAGTTAAGTAACGAATTTTGTTCCTGCTTTCAGTGTTATGGTATGCATTTGTCCTCCTCAACACATTGCAGGGACTGTTCATCTTCTTGTCATTCAGTTGTACCCGGAAAGTTTGGCATGGGTTGTGTGCAGAGCAAGCGCTGCAACATCCCAGGGAAGCACAAGAGGCAAAGTCGGCGTTCACTCCAGGCACTGCTACAACAAACACATGACATGCTCACATCTGGTGTTGTGAAGTGTTTTGCAAGTGCCGAACATGTCACCATTTTTAGATGGACGCAGACATCAGCTGAGTAGCTCAGTGAGTGCAATAACTAGGCTAAGGGCTGGTTGACTGGAGAATCAGTGTTTGATACCTGAAGGAGGCAGACTTTTCTCATTGCTGTTTCTCCAGATCAGCTCTGTGGCCTACCCAGCCACCTGTGCAATGGGTACTGGGGGCTGTTTCCTTGGAGGAAGAATGGCTTGGGTGTGGCGCTGACCACTCACTTCCATGTAATGCTGAAGGCTAAGAAACACTGAAGCTACACCTATATAAGAAGGTCACAGCTCATGGTGGGCTGTAGTTGTAGTTCTGTACCTTTTATGAGATGGGATACATAGTAAAGCTTGTGCTACTTTTGTTAACATAGAGTATTTGTTTCTGCACACGAGTTACTTGAATCAGAATCAAAGTGGTAAAGGACTTCTCTTGTACAGGAAGTATCAGTACTTAATCCCGGAAAGTCATGTCATAGCAGTATGAACATTACATCTGGTGTAATGGTAATTTTGGATTGAAGTGAGTGAAAGATCAGTTTCTAAGCTTGGGTGTGATGAATGTTATGGAAACAGAATGTGGACTGAAGTAACCTCTGCAAATTTCAGTTGGAGGAGGAGGAAGTGTTATGTGTATATAACAATTCTTATATATATTTATTTAAGTATTTAAATTTGCATCCATCTATTCAGTTTTGGGGCATGTGGTAGAATAGTTGGTTGAGCCACTATGCTTCAAGTCAGGAGGTTGCGGGTTCAATTCCTGATGAGGTTATTTGATTTTTCAATTGACCTAATTGATTGAGCCTCCCTATGGCTCTGGAGTAGACTCAGCCTCTAACAGAAATGAGTACCAGGAATCTTCCTGGGGGTAAAGGGTGGCCAGTGTATAAGGCTGACAACCTCACTGCTCTCTGTGAGCTGACTATAGAAAACTGGGAGCATCAATGTCTCACAGCCTGTTACAGGGATAGCTTTACCTTTTTTTACCTTTTCAGTTATATTAACTGTCTCATTACTGTCGTTTCTTTTGCTATGAGGGAAGTACCATTATCAGAATTTAAAGTAAGTTGTGGTGACTGCCACATATAACCAGTGCAGATAAGACAAATGCATACTCATCATTTAAACTGCACACATGAAATGAAAATATTGTAACGTGTTTACGTTACAGAAGACGCCGCAGAGATCGTTAATTGGTTTATTTAACAATCTACAACTAACGGCTACAATTAATTATAACAATGTTACGGGTTTCCACAGTTTACAAACCCTACAACAAAATCTCTTAACACTGTCTTCAAGAGTCTTCAAGTATTAATAACGTGGGAGCTATACACGTCTCCCTGAAATACACACTCCAGATATGACTGGTTATCACTGGTTATCGCACACGCGGCTGTTATGTTTCAACTAACTCTGAATAGCCTTCGCTGCTTCTTATGTAGCCTCGATCGGACAGTTGTTGCCTGGTGCCTTGTTGCTAGCCACGCTGTCCAGAGTTGTTGACGGCTGCCTAGTAACCGCGATATCCCTCGGTGACGTCACCGCGTTGACTTGCGTTGCCTAGTGACCAGGATGCTAGGACTCGGCTAACATCGGCTCGCTTCGGCTTCGCTCGGCGCATCACGGCTGGCGGAGGGTGGGGGGGGGAGGGGCGTCATTCAGAGCTCAACATGTCACAATATGTTAAGATATAACACAGTGCAGTAATGAAAAACAATACAGGAACTGCCTATAACAGTATGGCTCATTGAAATATTATTTGTGTATGTACTACTTATCTGCTCAAAACATCTGAAGGCTGGTTAACTAAAGAGGTGGCCCTGAATTAATAATTACAGATCATGCAGTAATTTACAAATGAAAATTAAACTTGGCAACATTCACCTAGCATGTGCCTGGTTCAGGCCACCCCCCTTCAGTTTGATTTTATGTTATTCCTCCTGCCACACTGACTGTAACATTTTAAAACACGAAGCATCATGTTGGCTTGTGTCTCTAGTCAGAGGGAAACCAATTTAAAGTATCTTCTGTACCCAGTTATCTCCACATCTAGCAAGGTATGTACACATCAAGTTTTACTTGCTTCAGTAAATTACTGCATGATCTGTAATTTTTAATTTGGGGCCCTCCTCTGAGTGTATCACGTGATACACACAATTAAATCATATGCTTCAGTATAGAAATATGAGATTTATTTTGGTAGACTCTCTGTTATTCAGTGAATTAACTATTTTGACTTCAATTCTCTCTTTCTGGCAGGAAAAGGCTGCCTGAACAGGCAGACATCCTATGCTATTCTAACTGGTTAAGCAATATTTGTAACAGGATACAAATAGGAATGAGCATAGGCAATTTGACATATTCACAGCAGTGAATATTAGGATTGTGTCTTGTCAGATATTTTGTCACGTAATCTGAGAGACGGGCACCAATACTCTCTTTAGTTGATTATTCTGACTATGAAGGTGGAGGAAACATGTTCCTCCAGAAGTTTATATCTATCTACTTGTCAAAATGGTTTCACATCCCAGGGTACTGCAAAACTTTGGAGTTACCATTGTTTAGAAAATATTTTAAGCTGAAAAGATCTGGTGCATATATCAAATTTTCGGTGTGGAGTGGTGTTTTGAGCCATTATTTTGCATCATATACAGTGAATACACAGCAAACAGTTGAAGTTAAATCAGTGGATGTGATCGTAGGAAATTTGAAGTGAATCTTATGTTATTTGCTATCTGAACCTTAGTGTCCAAGACTAAACTGTGTGTGCATAACAATATTATTTATGTCTGACTCTGTTCATTAAGGTGAGAGCTCTGGAAACAGTATATGAATAAATGGCTGTGATGTTATTGTTGATCTTAATACATTCACTGCCAGTTCCATCACCTGACAGGCTGAAGTTTACCATGTTCCACTGCTTTACCATTGAGTGATACTTTGTTGCCAGTGTGTATGTAAATCTAATTTCCTCTTATAGATATACAGAATTACTGGGATTTTGGACTTTTTCCATCATCCAGAATGCTAGGTAATAGAGGACATTCTAGGTAATAGAGGACAGGATGTTTCGGAAACTGGATCTCTTTCAGTCTTCAGGTGAAAAAGGAAGACACCTACTCAGTTGCGCCCCTTAGAAAGAGCTAATCTCNTTCTTATAGATATACAGAATTACTGGGAATTTGGACTTTTTCCATCATCCAGAATATAGGCCAGGATGTTTCGGAAACTGGATCTGTTTCCATCTTCAGGTGAGAAAGGAAGACACCTACTCAGTTGCGCCCCTTAGAAAGAGCTAATCTCAATCACTCACCTGAAGATGGAAACAGATCCAGTTTCTGAAACGCCATGTCCTCTATTACCTAGAATTCCGGACAATGGAAAAAGTCCAAAACCCAGTAATTCTGTGTGTCATCCACCATCGTCAGAACCCTTTAGAATCTCCTCATATAGATGTCACTCGAATGCAGACAGACTTTAAATGCACCTTGTCAAAGGCTGAAAGACTGTCAGTTGTTTTTAACTTGTTCTCTTTCATTTCTGTTTTGAATGTAGGAAGTTCAGGATTCTGATATGGAAAAACGTCTCGCCCAGCAGGTAAATTGCAGTATTGGTGGGGGGGACATGGCAATGAATATAGTGATCCTATACACACTTCATCCTTGTGCTGTGCCTTTGAAAACTATTCTGTGTGGTGGTATATCTAACTATAATTTGGGTAATTAAAGTGAAGGAGATTATGATGGGTTGGAGATGTAGCCTGAAAGAGGTAATAAATGCATATAGAATTATGCTGGGGAGCTTGCAAAGGATGGCAATGAACAAGATGGGAGGATAATACAAAATGGAATCTTGGCGTGTGAGAGCTTAGTGTGCACCTCTGCTGTTAATGTTGGACTCATGTTCATGAGGTTCACCCCATTTTCACAAATCACTGGTGGTATAACTATTGCATCACATATTTAGAAAATGTAGTAACTCTGTTCAGGTGAGTAGTTTTAAGTTCAGTCCTTACAGTGATAACTAACTCTGTGGTTTTAGTCTGCAAGCTAACTATACTGACCGAGCAACCGCTGCTTGTCGACGAAGTTAGTGCCAACTTTTGCGGATAGAGAGTGTTGCGTAGCCAGTGCAACGGATCCCCACGGGTTGCTAGACCAGAGCCGCTATTTCCTTGAAATAGCTCATCAGTTATCCTCACGAGGCTGAGTGGACCCTGTTCCAGACCCACTACTTCTCAGAAAATCTGATAGCACCGGGAAGCGAACCTGTAACCTCTGGATTTGTAGCCAGGAACTCTGACCACTAGACCACGGAAGCGGTCAATCCTTACAGTGTGTATTTTAAAACTGTTTCCTTGATAAGAAGGCAGGTGTGTCTATTATGGCATCCCTATTGGTTCATCATGAATTTGTGTATGAGATATGAGGTTCTCATGGTAGTGATTTTAGAGGTTACAGTCTTCTGGAATATGACACCATGCAGTTTGGTGGACAGTACCAGTGCTTTGGGGTAACCTGCTATCACCATCTTAGGGGTGGAAGTGGAAGTATGTGGCTCTCTAAATAAGATCTAAAAGTTTGTGACATTGGTATAAATAGTACAAATATTATGTTTGTGGACATTATCCATTGTCTTGTCTGCATCTAAAAACCATCCTGTTTATTTTGGAAAAAACAACATTTTGGAGACTGGATAGGGACTAGCTGTATCGATTGGGCCCAACTGAGTAGGTTTTACCTGAAGTTGGAGACAGAATCCAGTCTCTGGAACGTTGTGTTTTGAAAAATAAACAGGTCAGTTTTTAGATAAAGTCAAGATGATGGATAATGTCCAAAAACATAATATTTGTACGTGTGGCTCTGAAATGTGAATACCTGTAAGATTTGAGGTTCTCAGGTGGTGATTATGAAGCCCTCTGTCTTCTGGGATATAACACCATGACACTAAGAAAGTTAGCCTTTGTTTTGGAGGAACACACTGCCTTCATCTTCAGGGCTGAAGAGTAAGAGTTAGGGTGGCTCTGCTTGCTGCCAGTTTCATATTGATTTCTTGCTTGCTCTACTCTTTAACCCTACAGGTGGAGGTGACATGTTCCACCAAAATGTCAATTTACTTTCCACGGACTATATGGAATTATGTCTCAGGAGATAGAACTATGCATCTGATGCATATTTGTGCATCTGATGCATATTTGTCAAAGTACATGGTGTCATATCTCAGAAGGCTGTAAAATTAATTTATGTACTGATAATTCTGAATAACCAGTGCAGTCTAGTCGACAAATATGACCAGCCATGCAAATAGGCCAAACAAAATTGCTTTCACCCCCAGTGTTATGGTATATTCTGTTTCATTTGTCATTTGATTTGATTTAGTAATGAGCAGATAGTTACTTGAATTTGCTCAAAATTATCAATTAATTAGTCATGTTGCGGGCTGCCATTTCTAAGGTTAAATCAAGGAGGTTATGGTGGGATGGGATGGAGGTCAGAAAAGTCTAATGAATACTTAATTCTGGCTGGTTAACCAACTGGAAGATTAAAGTTGAGTGACTTTTCTTTTTTTTTTTTAGCTTCTGTTGATTTTTACAACTGAGCTGCTTACATTCCATTATTATTTATTTGGATATAAAACTATAAATTTGACTTGTTCAGCTATTTTGACCAATTTGGATAACTTCCAGTATGTTATCGGGCAAGACTGGTACCATATGGCCTACTTTGATGTGTATACACCACAAACCCACGGCGGCACAATCAAAGACGATCAAAGAACTATGTGTAATCTAATGATATAGAAGACTGTGGTACGTCCCGGAAAGTATCTTGAAAAGATAAAGTGGAAGGTGAGGAATTAATGTAGGTACAGCAGAGCTAAGTTCGAAGTGTTCTGTGATTTGGTTTATCTGTTTGGAATAAATTTGCACAAACCTTATGTTATCGAATCAAAGTTCGACCGGAGGTAGCCTGCATGCGAAGTGAATACGTGAAGGCGTATGCGTGAGGTTACCTTACTGCCAATTTATTGTTTCTCCTTTCATTCATGTTAGAACTGAATATGATCAGCGTATCATCCTTACCATCAATTTAATGTGCCGGTTTTCATTCATATGTAATACATTTAAATGACATGTTATATATAACACAAGGGGCTTAATTTTTTAAAGCGTTTTATATATTTTCGTAAACTGCGAACTACATTTCTAGGCTATGTTAGATTTGAAATTATAAAGATATATTTTGTGACTTTAGTGATACCATAAAGGTTGACAGCTATCGCGCAGCCTTATGAGAAATTTCGTACACTTCAGTTTGATTATCACACCTGTGTATTCTTGTGATAACGCATATGGTCGGTACGTGGAACTTACAAATGCACGTGCACTGTTAGAACCGCAATCCAGTTTACGTGATATGCGGTCAGATTTTAATGTTAACGTCTTGAAATATTATTGAGAACCTGCAAAGTCTGTTGTGTTGTAAAACTTTTCTTCATAACAGTTTTCTACCCTGAAAATGGAGGCGGTAAATTCCTTCATGACACTGGTTTGCTACCTCATTTTTGGGGGCCTGAAGAAACCGTGATTTAAGAATGATAACTGCAAAAACGAAGAACCATATTTGGTTCATTACATACAGCAGCCATCAGGTATTCTGAGTGAGGACCCTAGGAATGAAGATAGATTCTACTTTATTTTGTCTGTCAATTTTCTTAGATTGTTTTATATAAAAAAGGCAGAGTTTCCCCTTTATTACTACTACTACAACTAATGGCTCTACAGCTGTTTGTTGGGTCTTTGCCGCTTTTTCAATGTTTTGATCCTATACGTAGTAGGACTCCTTGGACGGGGGATCAGCCCATCACAAGGCCTCTGACTATACACAGAATAAACGCACGCAACACAGACATCCATGCCTTGAGTGTGATTGGAACCCACAATCCCAGCATTCAAGCGAGTGAAAACAGTTCATGCCTTAGACAGTGGGGCCATTGTGATTGGCAGAGTTGCCCCTGCACCTCACTAATTAAGCACCATGCCACAGTGATGTAGGAGTTAGTGGCCTCAGCTCGTAGTTGGCTTCACATCCCAGGCAAATTACCTGGGGAAACAGTCCCTGGGTAACCACTGGCTGGGTGGTCTCCAGAGCTGGTCTAGTTGCTGTGGAGAAGAGAGGTCTTCCTTTACCCATTTCAGGAATCAGACCCTGACTCCTTGGTTACCCAGCCCATAGCCTAATCACTGTATTAACTGAGCTATCCAAGCTCCTCATCGTTTCTATATGAAGCATGATGATTTATGTTGGAACTCTGAGCTGCAATATGAAAGCACCAGAGAAGATTGAGTTACCAGGTTCCTCTACATGTTGGCACCTTCCAATGAGACTACACAGCTCCACATCCCAGAAGCCAGTGATCTTCATATATACTGTCCTGGGGACATCAAATCTCACAATCTGATTAAACATTTCACTTGTGAGATTTCAAGTTTTCACAGTGGCAAAAATTTATGTTGTGATTTTTGAAGTCATATGGTATCATGTCTCATGGATGTCTACCACAACTTAGGAAAAACTTGCTGCTTCCATCTTCAGGGTAGAAGGTATAGTCATGGTGTGCCTCCAAAATGTTGGTAACTGTATAATAACTCAAGACAACCACAAATGAAACATTTTAAATTGTTGTTCTCTTCTTACAGTTGCACAGTCTCTGCATCTGTGACAAACGTGCTGTGAGATGTTCAGGTCCGCAGGCAGATTTGTGTTTCAAGGTCTGCAGCAGAGGAATGCAGGAAATCGGTGGTGCAGAAATGCCACGGCTGTTAAGATGGCCAAGGGAAATGTTCAGGAAGTGCTGATTCCCGTTCCTTGGGGACACATAGCAGGTAGAAATGTGGTACAGAAATCTGATAGTTGGAATTCTCAACAAGCATGGTGAATGTTAATGTTATTTTTTGTGAATTTGATTTGTTTTATTTTGGTTCGTCACACTAACAGTTACAATCATAAAAGACAAGTCTGTCCAGTGTGACTATTTCAGTTTTCTCACTTGATGATTTACTACCCTTACATGTTTTTATCCATTTAGATCATCTTCAGAGGCCCCAAACACTTTTTATAAACCACTATCACAACAGGGTCATATCAAATACATATGTATTGTCCAAGTACACAATGTTCCATCAGTCACAGCAGCCTTTCTGGTTATAGAAATATTTAAAGTTGTTTTAAAGTTTTAAAAACTTTGTTCAAAATTAACAACATCGGCCACCTTGAAGAGAGACGACAGGGGTTATTGACACGAACCTGTATGATTTATGAATTTTAATTTTGGATAAAGTTTTTAAAACTTTAAAACAACTTTAAATATTTCTATAACCAGAAAGGCTGCTGTGACTGATAGATGGAACATTGTGTACTTGGACAATACATGTGTATTTGATATGACAACTGTTGTGATAGTGGTTTCTAAAAAGTGTTTGGTGCCTCTGAAGATGATCCAAATGGATCGAAACATGTAAGGGCAGTAAAACATCAAGTGAGAAATCTGAAATAGTCACACTGGACGGACTTGTCTTTTATAATTTTTATTTGTTGTGGTTTATTTGACAGCAGTGTCAGTAGCTGAGAATGTTTACTGAATGAATAAATTAAAAGGGATATAGAAGGATGTGGTTGTGGTCTAATTCAAGGCACTACCATGACATGTGACATGAAGTGACTCAAGAATCCTTATGAGCGCTTGAGTCAGGAGAGCTAGTATTTGTGCTGAGATTTGAACACGTCACCTCCAAAGAATGGATCAGTGGGTCTAACGATGTAACCGCAGTGTTTGGTGTGAACGCTTGTGTGACATCCTCTATCTCACGCCACGCTTGCAGGCAAGTGGTGGGGTGACCGCAGTGTGCAGCCAGTACTGGGGCTTCATGGCTGGGAGGACAACTGCAACACATTTGACACCTTGGTGCCACTACTGAATGTCCCGAGCTTCTTAGCTGTTGACATTATGGGTCATGGCCTGTCGTCACGCTTTCCTGCAGCTGGCCCACACAGTTTTATGGATGTTGTGATGTTACTTAGACGCATATCTGAGTACTTCAAGTGGACCAAGATATCTATCGTTGGTAACAACTTGCATTCTGTTTTCATATTCCATGTACTGTAAGTGTAGATGAGGTGTGGTATATCTTAAGTAATTAGAGAGTGAGGTTGTGGATTGGATTCATGTGGATCAGGCTTCAGTGATGGCCTGTTGTGGAAATGATGATGAAAGTTCAGATCCTATAGATGTCAGAGGATTTCTTGAGTAGCTGAGTGTCTGTTAGCTTCTCAAGAAGGCTTGCACTTTATTATTATTATTATTATTGGAGGGGGTGGGTTTCTCCATGCACCGCGACCAGTGGTCTATTGCACATCCCCCTGTGATATTCTATCAGTCTCTATACCCTACCGATACTGGTGCCTGCCATCAGTCCCGACTCAGCCAGCGAGTTCGCCTCTACTGGCTCAGTGGTATCTAGATGCTTCCCCCATCTACCAGAGGCGTTAGAGACTATTGTTGGGTGGGAAATGTCCTTATAATTTGGCTCAGAGGCCTCCTTGAGGCATGAGGTTCTTTTACATGCCGTAAAGCTAAGACACGGGACCCACGGCTTAAAGTCCTCCCCGGAGGACTTGTTCCTTGAATTTTTCCGCCCTTAAAAATTCCACGACCTCCGCCAGGTTTGAACCCGCGTACCTTGAGTCATGAGGTGGGAGCGTTACCCCTAGACTACGGAGGCTGCTTAGGCTTGCACTTCATAAAGTTAGTTTGTTAATGTGTGTGCGTTTACATGCTCCGGCACAAGCGTGCATATTTGTCCATGTGTGTGTGACAAAGATTGATGGCCTCTAAGCCATACTTGTCAAGCAAAACATTTGTTTTCCACCACTTCAGAACCTTTCACTAGGAAGAATGCTTAGGGAGGAAGCATATACAAGCCCCTGCCTTTCTGGATACTTCCCAACTTCAATACTCCCCCCTGTTGACTTCTGGATTGCCCTCAAGCCATCCAGACCCATGCCATAGGCCAGACCTTTCCAGAACAACTACGCTTGCATAAAAATATGGTGGAGTTAGTGAGTTGAATGGTGTGAGGGAAGTGAACCTTTACAGCTGAGTCAAGCCTGACTATGAGCTTAGAAGTGGTGTACAGCATTTGTATTTGAGCAGATGATACAGTGTGAGAGAAGCTAGACTTGAGGCTGACAGTGCAGTTTGCTGTGGTGAAATAATGGTGGACCAGACAAGCTGACATCAAGATCTTAAGTGCCTTAGTGACAATTCGACAGTAAATGTTCCTTACTAAGATAAGTGTTACAATACTTATACTGTGTATGTATTCCTTACAGCATGCAGATGTACTTCTCTAAAAGCTAAAGATATGACTCACTAAACTGAAGCTGTTTCTATACATAAGAGTATGTAATAAAATCATAAAATAAAATATAACAAAATTATTTTAAACCTACCGTATCGGATGTAGACATGGAAGGTAACATGAAAATGGATCCTGGAGGAGTAGAATGTGTGGAGATGTGGATTCATATGGTTGAGGATGGAGCTTGGTGACAGGCTCCTGTGAACACGTAATGACCCTCCAGTGTCTATAAAATTCTGGGAGTTTCTTAAGTGGCAGAGTACCTCTTAGCCTCTGAAAGACTGAGCTGTATGGAGTTAGTTAGCTAGTTAGTTAGTTGGTTGGTTTGTTAGTGAGTAGTTAGTTAGTTATTGGAGAGGGTGGGTTTCCCCATGCACTTAGACCTGTATTGGTCCATTGTGCTTCCCTCTATGATTTCTACCAGTCTGTATATCCTACCGGTACTTGTGCTTACCATCAATCCCACCCAGCCAGCGAGACTGGCTCTACTAGCTGAGAGGTATCTATAATGCTTCCCCCATCTATCAGAGGTATTAGAGACTGCTGTTGGGTGGGAAACGTCTGTAATTTGCCTCAGTGACCTCCTTTGGAGATATGAGGTTCTTTTACGTGCCGTAAAGCTACGACACGGGACCCACGGCTTAAAGTCCCTCCCAGAGGACTTGTTCCCTGAATTTTTCCGCCCTTAAAAATTCGACAACCTCCGCCAGGTATTTGAATCTGCGTACTATGAGTCATGAGGTGGGAACGTTACCTCTAGACTACGGAGGCCGCTTTGTTGGTGAGTAAGTAAGTATTCACTTATGACCTTGTAACTACAAATACCTTGTAGGAAGAAGTTTTGATTTTAATAACCTGTTAATGTTTAACATCCAAACAGTGAGGAAAGTAAGCATTTCTTTAATATGTTGTCGTAGAGGCAGCTCTGAACAAGAAAATAATGAATAAGAATATGATGGTGAGATTAAGTCTTGTTAATTTTTCTTTCCTGTGACTCACCACTATGTAGTTTGTACTGTGTAGAACATGATTCAGAAGGTCATGCCAAAATAGTAACTTCGGTTTAAAGAAATGAGATATTTTAAACATAGTCCTTTAACCCTTTGAAGCCTGAAGTTCATGTAAACAATATGTGAAAATCCATCCCCTACCTCACAGAAAACACTGTCTGCCTTCATGACAGATGCTGTTCAGGGAAATAATCACTTTTTATTGTCAGAAATATACTAAACATATAAATACACTGTGGGTGAAGTGGGGGGATTCTTTTAACGTTAAAGTGACTGGTTCGTATAGTAACTGCTATGCTTTGGAGGATTCATATAACTAACTGAGCACAGAAAAATTATGCTCGCTGGTTCCCAAGATCATTTTGTCTCATTTGAGTGGAAATGACATTTTCAAACAGTGTGTTCTGTTGAAATACCATTGACAAACAAACACACATTTGCATCAATATTTGTCATATAGTCCTATTTAAAATATGCAGATACATATATTGAATTTTTTTCTGTGGTGTAAAGTCTCTGGTATTCTTTACATGTGGTTGACTAATTTTAATTTATTTTCAGGTCATTCGTTTGGGAGTGCAGTGGGCTACGTTTACTCTGCACTGTTTCCAGATGCTGTGGATGCGTACGTCAGTATAGACTGCGCTCGCACGGATATGATGCCACAGAAGGAGAATCTGTTGGATGAAATCAGATACACTATTAATAGAACGCTTGAGCTAGAGAAGAGACTGGCGCTGGACCCACCCAGCTACACTTACGAAGAACTGGTGGAGTTGCTGTATGCAGGCCTCAATAAGTCCCCATCGAGGGACTCGTGTCGCATCTTGCTTCAGAGGGGAATGAAAGAGTCATCTCAGGGACACAGGTGATGTACATGTGAAGGTTCTTGTATGGTTTTAGGTTCAGTTTGAAAAGTGCCTGTTAGTTCTGTCGGTTCTGTCAGTTTCAGCTTGTATAGAAATGACAAATAATACAGGAATCTTTTCTGAATGAAATGGCTGTAGTAGATATAGACTAAACTCAACCAAGCAGGTCGGCCCAGCAGTAATGATGTAGACTCTAGGCTTGTATTTTGGAGATGTTCAGGTCAGAAACTTGGTCACGTTGTTGACTGTCCATGATGAAGTATTTTTGTTGTATTTCTCAGTCCTTCCAGGCTTTTGCCTGGTGGCCCTGAGAAGAATATCATCAGTCATCCTACAATTCAATGTTATATAGTTGCCATTGCTTTTTTTTTTTTTTTTTTTGGTAGTGGTGTGGGACTAAGTCACTTGTACTGCGGCCACTTCTGGCCTATTGTACCAGCCCTAGATGATAGGTGAGGGTGATTGTGGAGCAATTGGTGGAATGAAGATTGGCAGGGGACACCGAAGTACTCAAAGAAAACCTGCCCCAGTGCCACATTGTCCACCAAAAAACCCACTTCACCAGACCCAGGATTGAACCCGGGCCACCATGGTGGGAAGCCAGCGACTAACCAATTGAGCTATGGCGCAGCCCTATAGTAGACATACTACTGTAAGGGTCATGAGATAACTCACAATACCAAACTAAATAGACTCTCATTATTGTATGATGATGAACATATACGTTTTGTTTGCAGAAGATATTACCTGGCTCGTGATCCGAGGCTGAAGTCGCGCTGGAGTGGTGCACTGACAGAAGAGTTCCTTCTAGCTTGTGCACCCATGATAAAGTGCAGGGTGTTGAGCATCAGAGCTACTGGGGGTATACTGCAGGGTGGCAAGTGCAAGGAAGTATACCTGCACACACTGGATCTCATACAGCAGTGTGAATTGCATGATGTCGAGGGCAGTCACCACCTTCACCTGAATAACCCTGAAAACATTGCACCTCTCATTAACAAGTTCTTGCACCCTCCAGTCAGAAGCTGTAACTTGTGATGAGGTAAGGCCTAGGAACTTTGTCTGTAAAATGATGTATTGCAGGCTGCTTTCATAAAATTTATGTAGCACTTGCAACAAAAACCTCAGTGAGAAAAGCAGAATCAGTACATGAGTGTTGAAAACTGAATATTTTATATGGTTACACTATTTCTTAATGTCTATACAAATTATACAGGATGTCCAAAAATAGTGCGCACATTTAAAACATTTTTGTTGAGGAAATAAAGAGAGCTAGGAGAATAAAGTTTTCACCACATGAAACAGTTACTAAGAAAATTTTGCCCCACATTTCTCCATTTCACTGCACTTTGACATGAGCTGCCTCTGTTGCTCACACAGTGCCCATCTTGTATTCAGATGCCTCAAAAGCGTTGCCATACTTGAGGCATGGTTCATGTGTGCTCAGTAAAAGAGGTATCATAATGTCACATGCTACAGTGACTATAGATGGAGTTTGCATTGGTACTCAGATTTATTGAATTCTTTTAACAGACAATTCTTGACTACGCTTCACAAATCACTATCACACAAAGACTAGTGTTCTCGGTCACAGAGTCGTCACTGAGCTGCCTGGTAACATCTTCCAGCAGTTGGTGTTCCTTGGCTCCTGGGCTCACATCCTCAGAGAGTGGTGTCCATATCACACCAGCCTCCTCCTCTTCTAATTTCACTGTCTCGAGACTCTAGCTAGGCTAATGGTAGCTGGGCCTTGTTATATAGCCTCAGCACAGACCCCACAGAAATCACCTCTTCCAACAGTTATTCTGTTGTTGTATGATATAGCTGTTGACATGGACCATGTAAGAAACAGCGCTTCCAACAGTTACTCCATTGAAGTGTGTTACATGGTCACTGCCTAGTAGTGGCTGTTTCACTGGCTGCACAATTCTGGCTTTCAACAGACATGCCACAATACGTAAAACTTTATCAGTTCTGCTGTCACACGGTGAGAATCATACTTTTCTGGCTGTGTTTGTTTTCTCAATAAAAATGTGTGCACTCATTCCTGGACAGTCTATAGTATGGTTTAAAGAAGGATACTTTGAGTATCAGTAATATTGAGGCCACAGAAAGAAGTCCCATGGATTAAACTCCCTCCACATCTCACTCAAGTTCCTGTGCTTCTGCATGTGCCCTGCAGCCATCAGACCTTTCTGTTCACTTGAATAATGGTAGTGATTAAATTGTATGTGAAGTATCCTTGAAGTTGTGTTATGTCCTCATTAGGACATTATTAAATTGTATTTTCATCATAAGATGCTGACCAGAATTGCCATACCAGAGATACTCAACATGCAGCAGGACTTTTATTGTCTAAGGCTGTGTAAGCCAGGGGGTGCTGGAGGGGAAGCCTTGAGTCAGTATAGATCAGATGTATCTGCCTCTGTCTCAGGGCGCACTAAGTGTTTATGTGGAATTTTGTGATTTGTGTGAGAACTTCTCATCTGTGAATATGTTAACACAGGTTTTTTTTTTCACTTATTTACTGTTGTTACATTTAAGGGTGTTGGTGATAGTTTGTGTTGTTTAACAGCACTATATCAACTGCAATATTAATTTGATGAGGGATTGATAGTAGCAGTCCAGATGTTTGTGTGGAGCGACTGAGGAATCCTGCAGTCAGAAGGTAGTGCCAGGCTATGTTACCCATTCAGCTAATCTGTTCTTTAATACGTATGACATTTTCTGTAAGGCAGCTTTTCTCAGTTGTTACTGAGCATTATCGGAGATTTTTGCAGTCTTAGACCAAGAAGTGGAGTCGGTATAGCAACAGGCTATGGGGCTGGATAGCCTGGGTTCGATTCCTGGCAGAACAAAATTTGTCCCCCCTCCACAGCATCCAGACCGGCTCTGGACCCACCGAGCCTTCTATCCAGTGGGCATTTGGGGCGCTTTCCCTGGGGGTAAAGTGGTAAGGTCCTCAAGCTGACTACTCACTTCCATCTAGTGTCAAGGTCATGATTGGTGGAACTATACCTCCACTCCCCCATATGTCTTCATAGCATATTGCTTAACTAATTAATCACAGGGACAACTTTTCCTTGTTTTTACCTTTACCAGACTAAGAAGTTATTTGAATTGCATGTTTATCTGTAAGTGTGAATACAGATGTGCTCACTCTGCTCTTACCAGCCAAGTGCTGGGTTGAAGGTGAAGGCCTTAACAAATGGCTTCTGATATGATAATGTGCCGCTTGATCAGGGCTACAGTATGCCTCAGGGGGTGATCATAGCCAGATATAGAACCATGGTAGAATGATGATTGTCAGGGGAAAACTGAAGTCTCAGAGAAAGACCTGCTGCATTGCCACTCTGTCCACTATGAATGTAAAATAAGGTCACCAAAACATGATGCTCTGTGGTGAGAAGGCAGAACCAGACTCCCTGGGATAAGGCACAGCCCTGATAAAAACAACTGTTATTGTTGAATACTTGACTTACGTACACTTCTTGGCTCTGTGGTCCCTGTAAGAACTTCAGCCTTCTGTGCAACAGATGGATTTTCTTCTCTCACCTGGCTTCTATTGGTAGGCTTGTTGATATACATCATTTTATCAGGTGAGATCATTTTTCTCATGTCCAATCCCTAACCTGCAGGACCAGTGGCTGTATTGCATCCCCACCTGCCCTTTGATCTGTCTAGATCTGTTGACCCTGCCAGGAGTTTGTGCCCCTGCTAGCATAGCTCTAGACAATTGGCACACAAGCCCCCTGCTGCCAAATTAAGGTACTAGTCTAGCGCGAGGATTGCTGTTGAATAATGGTGTTAAGATGTGATGATAATTGTAGTAAAGGGTAAAGTTGTCCCTGTATTTAACTAAGTAAGGACTACACCAAGAACGTGTATAGGGTAGTGGATGTATAGAATCACATTTTCTTGACCTCTGCACTTGTTGGAGATGAGTGGTCAGCTTCACGCCCTGGCCGCTTTCCGCCCTGGGGAAAGTGCCCCTGGTACCCATTGGATAGGAGGATGGATGGACCCCAGAGCCAGTCTGAATGACATATAGATGTAAAAATTCTTGACCCCACCAGGACTCAAAGTCTGACCTCTCGTTCGTCCAGCAAGTAACTAGTCGCTATACAAACTGCGCTATCCTGGCTCGTAGATAATTATAGTAATAATGATGATAGTAATGATGTGATGATGATCAAGACACTGATGACTGTCATCATCTGTGTATTAAATTAAATTATCAGATGAAGAATTTCCATTTTGTTATACCCGGTAACACGCCAACAAAGTTGACAGTGTGAAGAATATAAATGTTTTTTTCAATATTATTGAGTCTCCATTACAGATGGACTTGACTGATTGACATGAGGTGTGCCAAGTGTCTTATTACAAATTTACATATATAGAATTATCATATTTGAAATGGTTCTGTGTAAAATAAATGTGTTCATTGTAATAGGTCTTATTTTATGGTTCACTGGCTGATGCTGTCAGCATCTCACGCTGTATATAGTGTCAAATCATAAGATGATTAATAAATAATGGTTTGGAAGGGATGTGGAAGGAAGCACTTGTGGCCTAGTTTGAGGTACTATCCTAGCATTTCCTTGAACAGACTAAGTATGAACCTTAATCAGTATAGCTGGTGCTCTTGACTGTGTTTCTTTGTGTGTGTGTCCCAAATGAAAGTCAGAAACTCCAAATTTCTTGGTCCACAGTAGTCCTATTTAAACATTTGTTACATGTTGGGCGGGTGTTACAGCATATCTCATTTTTTATTGTGGGGAAAAATTATTGTAAATACAAAAAAGGCTAGGCAATGCCCACCTGGCCTTCTGTAACACATTCTTATAAACATCTTATTCTATCATAGCGGTAACCCCGCTATTCTTAATATAGATCATAACCATATCATCAGATACTTTTAAGCCTTGTGCTGCTATCTGTGGACAGGTTGTGAAGTTGCAGAATTTGCACACCAAGCAACTCTAAAAGCAAGGTAACTACTGCACGATGGTGAAGGGTATCAGTGCCTAGGGCACGGGGTGTCTTGCTAAGATCTCACTAAATGTAAACTTCTCTTTTCATGATCAGAGTTATAACAATATAACCATTGCATCTGCTGTGGAAGAAATGCCAATTTTAAATGAAGGTAAACAGTGCTGTTGTCTGGAGTGTATGTTCCTGCAAGACATCATGAAATTACACGTATATTGGACTACATGACATCACTGGGGCATGCGGTAACGTAGTTAGTTGAGGCACTATGCTACAAGCTGGAAGGTCTCAGGTTCTGTTTCTGATGAGGTAATCGAATTTTTTCAATTGACGTAATCCTTCCAGCTGCACTGCTCCCCTGGGGTTGACTTGGCCTCTAACGGAAATAACTGTCGTTGCAGTTAGAAAAGGCATTCCCCATAACCATGTAGACCTAGCACCCCTTGTTTCAGTAGAAGCGACAAGGGTCTGCATACCAATTGGTAACAGTGAAGTGCTGCTTGCAGCTGTTTATAAATCCCCAGGCAGTGCTAGAGTGATGCTGACATCACTGAGCTCCTAAGCTTTAGACGTAAGTCTAGTTCAGCAGGTGATTTGAATGCTGAACACCCATTTTGGTATAGCAGAGTTTCAAACCCCTCAGGCGAGGTACACATGGATTTGTTTGATTTGAATGAATTCAAAATGTCAGACCCACATTGCCCGACTCATTATTCCCCTGCAGGAAATGGTGATGTGCTGGACATTGGTCCACCAAAATATCAGAGTGTCAGATGTCATCGTCTCTGATATTTTGGATTCAGATTACCTATCAATAGTATTCCACATACTGGATCATGTTAAAATTAAGAACTTTTTGGAACCTATTGAAAAATTCACAGATTGAGAGCAGTTTCAAAGCCTTGCATCTGAGTTAATATCACCTAAAATAGAAATGAAGTCTGGGGTAGAAGCTGATAAAGCAGCACGTGACTTTACAGCCTCTGTTGCTTCGGCATATAGGTTGTTGACAAGTAAAGTTACACTTTTGGACATAAACATCGATCTTCCTGGTCTAGATCATTTGTTAAAACATAAGCAGAGGCTAAGAAAATTGTGGCAAGAAACCAGTGATCCAGCATGTAAAACGGCAGTAAATTGGGTCAAGAAGTCGATCAGGCGAATGACCCATAAGAAGGCACTTGAACAGTGGAAAACAAAAATACGTTGATAATGTTGAAGTCACGCTTCAGGGTGTATGGCCCATTGCAAAATCCCTCCTAAAGAGCAATGTACCAAGGGCCTCAACTGCTATTCATGGTGCTTCAGGCCTTAAATTTCACCCTTGAAAAGAGAAAACCAACCCAAATGCAGATTGGAAATTCAGTTCATGCCGCATGATCTGTTTGACAATAACCATGAATAGCGGGTGGAGGCTAGAGTTCAAGCTCTACTCGAAACCGTAGACAACAGCCTCTCTCAGAGGATAAGACACATGGTGTTCACCTGGCCCTCTTTGCAGATGACACCTGTCTGTATGTGAGAGATCGCAAGGAGGGTTTTATTGTCAGAAAACTCCAGCGCGGTCTCAGCTCAATGGAGACCTGGTGTGAGTGCTGGAATATTAAAATTAATGAAGATAAGACTTCTCTCATAATTGTCGACTGCCTGAGTCCTGTCTTACGCTAAATGGAAGGAACATTGCTTTCCCATGTGCATAGATTATTTAATATAAAATTGTTAAATAAAGCTCATGTAAAGAAACATTGCTTTCCCATGTGCATAGATTGTTTAATATCAAACAGTAGGATAAGTGGAAGTGGTCGTTGCCCATTTCAACAAACTGTTGCATATGATTTACTCGAAGCAAGAACTGGGGAGGCAGAGAAAGCCGTTGCTAGGTAATGGTCCTTGCACTCAGCAGAGGAGCGCATCACTGTGCTGTGACGTCATGCAACAAGGGATGGTGCAAGCGGCTTTCTCTGAGGGATCTGCTTCATGCTTTGTTGCTATGCAACTGTGCGATAAATGCAACTCTGCAGCAGTGAATCAACATGTAACAATAGAGAAAGCGGTTTTTTTTCTGTGAGTTTGCCCTGAGGCTATATAACAAAGATCTCATGCAGCTAGAATTAGACCAGAGTTGGCAGTTGCAGCAGGAGAATTGAGTCGAGTTCTGGAGTTCAAAGTGGGCAGTTAGCAGAGAATTAAGAGAGTCTTTGGGGATGGCAGTTGAAGATTATGGCAAGATAGGAATTAAGCTGTGTGAGGAAGACTCGCAGTGTGCTGCAGTGACAGTGAGGCTGTTGTAAATAATCCATTGCCAGGATACGAATAATGAAGACTGAGAACCATAGTGTGTGTGCAACGGTGAACTGTAAAGCATGTAGATCAGCAATAGTGCTGTATTACTTGTAGTTACAAATTTAATGTGTAAGGTGTCAATAAATCAAGTCATCCAATGATCCAAACCCCATTTTTAAGTCACACACAACCCTTAACACGTGACAATACATTTGATTAGGAAAACCTTGAGAAATGTCAATTAAGGTAGCCATCTTTTGGACCAAGAACTGAAAGCCAATCAGAAGCAGGAAAGCTGTCTGCTAAATTGCAATATTTGGGAGATGGAGTGAAAGAAGGCTGGATGAGAAAGGCGGGATTTAAATCTGGACATGAATACCTGCTTCCCAGTGAGTTTTCCATTATCTCACTCCCTCCACAACAATACTGAAACCAACCCATTGCCTTCCTCAAACTATGAGGCACAGTCTTTCTTGTGAAACTCATAGATAATCACTGGACCAAGAAAAATCCCTTTCTTTTTATGGGACCCAAAGGTTTGTTACCATTTTCATAAGAGCCCACCACTGGACTGTATCCTGAGCCAGAA